CGCTTTTCGAACACACATCCTTATACGAAGCTTATACCGGCTCTCTGATTGCCGCGAAAGGAAGAACTCTCAATGGAATCAACACCATCCTGGCACCCACAAAATTTAAATACGAAGACTGGGCGCGCGTGCGATTTGGAGCTGGAACTCCGTGGAGACGGTGTTGGTTCGTGATCAGTCCGCCAGACGAGAAAGAGATGCAAAAGGCGCGCAAGATGACCAAGAAATCGGCGTATGACCGCTTGTCAATTCCGGTAACTGGAAACATCAAGTTTTACGAGACAAAGAAGACCAAAAAGGTGACACCGATTGCCACCATCACTAATGTGTACGCGGCATATGCGATTTACCCGCAGTCCAAGGCTTTAATCGATGCGTCGACACTGGTGAAGTTGGAGGGTAGGATTACTACCCATGCAGATGGAAGTTCCACGGAAGGTCTTGTCTTCGTCATGCCCGAACTGCATGCTGCCGTTTCTGGATTCGAGATGATGCTGCGGTTCCTCTTCCCGACCTTCGACACGTTCAATCTATACGGCCGTCCGACTCGCCTGGTGGCTGATACCAACCACATCAAGAGTATCATGTTTGCATTCCCCAAGGAGCGGCGCTACGGCTATCTGGATGTGCTGGATATCGCAAGTCTCCTCCAGACCCCCGGAAGTCAAGAGTGGAGCGAGGCGGAGTGGAGGAAACAGTTGAAAGCAGCAACCCAACGACGGATTTCGACAGGCAGAAGCAGAACCAACAGCGTCAACAGCTCGAAGCCTCGTTATCGCTCCAGCATGTCTGGCCGCTACAGCGATGTCCCCGTTGACCCGCGACGTCAAGTCTCTGCTTTCCAGAACAAGCCTGACTTCAACCACTCTGCGGAGGCTGTTATCCAAGAAGTTCCTAGGACCGATGGTTCACCACTTGCGTATCATACTCGCGGTTTCTCCGACACCACCGGTTTCAACAGTGCCTCCACACCCGGCCGTAGGTTGGCCGAGGGCTCCCCTAATTCATCCGCTCAAGACCTAACGCCTCGTGATGGAACTCCGACAGTGGCTCCCATTGCCGAGAGCACCAGCTCCGAGAGTTTCCCAGCCTACGAGAATGGGCATCTCGAACCTGTGAGAGAGCAGCTTCCGCCACCCACCCCACCATCTCCAGTTATGAGTCCGCCCGCATTTTCGCATGGCCCAAGAGAGATGCCAACCAACCGACCGGAGGCATCATCGGAGCAGAGACTGGCAAACAACCGCATGTCTCACGCAACTCTCTCTCAACTCACATCGGTTGGAGGGGTTGGATTGAGCGGGGCTGCTTCTACTGCCGCCTGGAAACAATCGCAGAAACCAAACGAGCAACAGCCTCAGCAACGGGACGCCAACAGTGTCTACCACCCTAATCCTGTTGCTTATAACAACTCTCTTGCGCACTCATCGAGCGACGAGGCCATGACCATGGCGTGCCCAGTTCGCCCGCCCAAGGTTCCGGAACATCGTCCTAACACACCCAACACTGCCGGCAGCCCCTCCCCTCAGCGGCCATCCCCTCATCGGCCATCCCCCCAGCGTGTTCCAATTGATACCAGCAAGTCCGTCCGACGCAAGCCAGTCCCACGTGACATTTTCGCCGAAGAGTCCCAGAGACAGGGCGAACCGAGCTATGATGACCTGCGCCACACCCTTGACGAGGATGTGCTGAACCAAATTGCTCCTCACCTCCCATCCCCGATATCGTCAACAGCCATAAACGACGAGGAAAGCGTCTACGATGATGCGTCGACGGTTTCGCCTGACTATGCCAGTACCCATGGCTCTGTCTACAGCAAGAGATCCACCAAGTCGACCAAGCCCAGAATGGGTGTCATGAAGACCGTGGGAGTTCCAGCAGCTAAGGATCTTGTCATTGGTGACGCCCACTATACTACGGACAGAGCGCCAACCTCAAACCCCGACATCCCCAATGTGGACTTTGGGCCAACTATGACCTACATGCCTACCACTGGACGCCCGAGCACTTCAGATGCTCTCAAAAAGCCACTCCATCAACGGAGGGACTCAGAGGGAACTAAACTCACGATCCCTACTCACCAAATGGACCAGGCTAATGGAAGACCATCCTCCCAGGAGGAATACCGACGGAGTATGCTGTGGCAACCTGGAATGGCTTCTGGTCGCCCTGTCACTCCTGGTGGACTCACTCCAGAACAATATGTACAGCAACGGGCAGCCCCCAGCCCTCCGATGCACATGCACAACCGTACCCCATCCGGAGCCACCATGGTGCAACGCCCGGTATCGGGCGAGTGGGCCCATCTCGCCCGCTCTAGCTCGCCCATGAACCGAGACCCCAACTACCGACCCTCGTCTCGCGGCGCCACGACCATGCTTAACCACAACGACGCCTCGATCCATCTTTCCGCCCGAGAGCAGGAGCACGTCGCCCGCATGACCGGCTCTTCATTCTTCAACATGAACAACGACACCCGCAAGCCCCATGCACCGGTGAACCCCGGCGGTCTCGTCTCTGCTATTGACGCTCGCGAACGCGAGAAGCGCGAAATGAGAGAGGGAATGTCGAACCAGATGGTCCAGCAAGCCATTGCACAGCGCCAGCAGCACATGATGCACCAGCAACAGTACGCACCCCAGCCGATGTTGCACCAGCCCATGTCGCCCCAACAGGCTGCCTCCGTGTACTCGCCCCAACAGGCTGCCTCCGTGTACCCACCCCACCATGGTGGCCAGGCGTCCATGTACAACATGCCAGTTGCCAGTCACACATGGGACGCCCTTCACCAGATGAACCGCCCCGACGAGCCTCGTCGATCGTCGTGGTACGGTCAGCTTGCTCAGCAAGCTCCTCAGGCTCCGTCTGTCTACCCGCAAAGCCAACACACTCAGAACCCGAGCTTCTATGGCTACGCTAAATAGACCGGTTCACTCCATAGATCACCACAACCTTTCCTATCATTATCCTGTCACTACCACTAAACCAAATTTTCCTTTCCGTCCTCAACCTACATTCCTTGCACATCATTATCATCACCGTATATCATTTATTCCATTCGCATACCTATTCCAACCCTGGAACATAGCCCAGGTCCACCACTACAAGCACTCCTTTCTCCTTTCACTCTCCCACTCTTCACGGCACACACTATCATTACCATGATTTCACCTTCCATTGCTCATTTCCATTACTCTATTACTCATTGCCAAGTACCCATTACCTTGTTGCATCGCATCCAACCGGAGTTGCAGATTGGCGCGGGTGTCTCGTCTCATTTTGTGATTTGCGTGCGATTTTCTTTTCCCATTTTCATATCTTCACAATGGGAATTTTCTTTACTCTGGCCATTTTTTTTTGCACCTGTTTCTACCTTTCTGACTTGACTAGTATATTTTTTTCCCGTCGTCTTCTTCTATTATCATTTTCCTCGCTCTCTCTTCGTGTAGATGTGTCTCTTCGGCATATATTTTGTCTTCTCTGGTTTTAGACTGATTATTGTTATTTGATCAGGTAAAAATGTTCATGCTTTCATTATCTGGCTTTTATTTGAGATGTGTGGTGTAGTGTAGGATCTAAATATGCTTATGGTAATACTGTGCATGTAGATGCCGATCCCCCGATTCACCCAGTCGGGGAACTCCTCTCCCGTAGATATGTTATCAACTACAAATCTCGAGGGGCATACAGTCATAGGCCGCAAGTCCTTCCCCCTCCACCAACCATCTTTATACGATCTAGAATGAGTAACCGGAGGCATTTGAAAATGGGCAACAAAGAGGTGAAAAAAAGAGGCCAAAGTAGGGCGAAAACTGCATAACACGGTATACTCGCTTCGAGGCTTTTGTGTAGAACCTGTCCGATACGTGTTGGCGCTGTATACACATTTATGACCCGTTGTACATACATGTAGTGAACCCAAGAGAGTAAGATATCAGAAACATGCATACACTGTTCACCAGGCGAGACATCATACATCCAATTCCATCCGGATTCAACGACATCCCAAACACCACTGCAGACCATTATCGGCAAGTACATGTACCGCTAGCTTGGTTGAGGGGCCGCACGGAGCAGCATATCAGGTTCACAATCAAGCCACTACAGTATTGTTATAGTTATAGTTGTTCTCGCCAATAGGAGTCTATCAATGGCTCCAGTAAAATGTATTGGAGTCTAAGTTATGTTGAGACAGGGTCTGGACTTATACTTTAGTGTACTTATGCACGTCCGACGAACCGAGGTTTATTTTGGTTATTGGTTGATAGCTATACTGTGTGTTGCTTAGTCTGGAATTTGGCCCCAGGGGGCTGATGTGACGGACAAGGATTGCAACCTGTTCTTGTTTGGACTTACTTCATAGACCTATTGCTTGGTATTTGTATCGACTATCAATTGTTGTGTAGAATATTGTAATAAAGTTAGGAAAATATAAGTAGCGAAATAATAGATTTGTTCTAGAGAATATAAGTTAGCTGCGTTGTATCTTGGTATGGAACAGGATGAAAGGCTATAGAACCAACGGGCACTGATAAGTCGAACTAGGGCTGGGCTATGACAACATAGACGCCGAGCCCCGGTCAATCCCCTCATTTCATTCAATGAAGTATACACTCCGAGTTGAGGTTTGACGTAGTTCAGGCAAGTATGACGTAGTTCGGGTTGCCGTTACAGTCCGGACCGAACTACAGGTTTCTTGCTCCAGTGCCAACCAGTGCTAAAGCCCTTTTCCATTCAGCTATGATTGGTTGATGAGTTGGATATCTGCCAACCACCCAACATGGCCATCCGGGATCCGAATGGCACGATGCGCTATTGGGAGATATCTTATAAGAAGCGAGGTCGCCTCTCGTTGCAATGCATTTAATTCAGACAAATTGTACACAGGACGATCGTCCATTCTGTCTTCGCCACCATTCACAGGCCCCCACTTCCCCAGATCCCCATACATATAGATGATTGTGGACTCTATACAATAGTCCGCAATCAAAGTCTACCTCATGGCCTCAAACGACTTCCCGGCCTCTGAGAAGCCCGAGGCCTTAAATTCCAAAGATTCTTCAATCAAAGACGAAGCCGGTCTACAGAAAGGGAAGAACGAACGAGAGCGTGGTGCCGATGCCCACGCCGAACATGCCTCCAACTCCGACGCAAACAGTCACTCCGACTCGCCCAAACTACGTACTGGCGGTAAACCCGAACTCACAGAAGATGACTGCTACGATAAACTTGGCTTCTGCTTCCCATTCTGGAAAAAATGGTCTATCCTCAGCGTCATCTTCGTCGTTCAGATGTCCATGAACTTCAACACTGGTGTCTATGCCAACGCCGTGACGGGCATGACGGAGGAATTCCATATCAGCGAGCAAGCAGCCCGAGTCGGTCAGTGTGTTTTTCTCGTTGCATACGCCTTCGGATGTGAGCTGTGGGCGCCATGGAGCGAGGAGTTCGGCCGCTGGCCCATCATGCAGCTCTCCCTCTTCTTGGTGAACATCTGGCAAATCCCCTGTGCCCTCGCACCCAACTTCGGCACCATCGTCGTGTGTCGTATCCTTGGTGGCCTCAGTTCAGCCGGAGGCTCTGTCACCCTCGGCATGACAGCTGATATGTGGGAAGCCGACGACCAAGGCTTCGCTGTAGCCTTCGTGGTGCTCTCCTCCGTCGGCGGCTCGACAGTAGGCCCATTTTTCGGCGGCTTCATCGGTGAATGGCTCTCCTGGCACTGGGTCTTCTGGATCCAGTTAATAGTCGGAGCCGTAACGCAAATAATGCACTTCTTCATCGTGCCCGAAACACGCGCAACAATCTTAATCGACCGCGAAGCCAAACGCCGCCGCAAAGCAGGCGAAAACATCTGGGGGCCAGACGAATTAAAAACCCCTCGTCTAGACCTCCACGACGTCCTCCGCATCTGGATCCGACCCTTCGAAATGTTCCTCCGCGAACCAATCGTCCTCTTCCTCTCCCTCCTCTCCGGTTTCTCAGACGCCCTAATCTTCGTCTTCACCGAATCCTTCACCCTAGTCTTCGAGCAATGGAACTTCTCAACCCTAGCAGTAGGCCTAACCTTCGGCTCAATCCTAATCGGCTACCTAATAGCCTACATAATCTTCCTGCCTGACGTCTACCGCCAAATGAAAATCCGCCGCGAAAACGGCGCAGCAAGCCGCCTCGCCGAACGCCGTCTCCTCCTGCTGCTCTTCATAGCTCCCCTCGAACCAATCGGCCTCCTAGGCTTCGCCTGGACATCAATGGGTCCACCCATCCCCTGGGTCGCACCCTGCATCTTCGCCTGCCTAATCGCAATGGCAAACTACGCCATATACATGGCAACAATCGACTACATGGTCGCAGCCTACGGGCCATACTCAGCATCAGCAACAGGCGGCAATGGTTTCGCGCGGGATTTCCTAGCGGGTATTGCCACTATGTATTCGACGCCCATGTACCAGAATATAGGGAGCAAGTATCACCTCCAGTGGGCGAGTACGTTGCTGGGATGTGTTGGGTTCTTGGTGTTGATTCCGATTTATGTCTTCTATTGGAAGGGTCCTACTATTCGGGCTAAGAGTAAGTTTGCGCAGCAGCTTGCTGCTGATCGTGAGAGGCATTCTGAGTCGAGGAGGGTTAGTTATACGCGTGGGTCTCTTGGTGCGTGAGGTGTTGGGCTTGGTGAGTTGACGTGCATGAAGCGGGTTTCTTGTGTCTTATGATACCCTTTTTAGTATAGATTTATTGTATGCGGTTAATGGCATTTTCTTGTATATTGAGTGTTTGTCTTTGATATTCCTGTTGCAGGTCTGTTTCTTGTAGGCAATCTGGATCGACTTCCTGGTGTATGTACCAGCTACCTCCATCGTTAGGGCATTTTCTCATACGTTGCGTAGACACTACTGTCTTTTTCTACGATATTAACCACAATTAATAACAGAAGTCAATGCTATTGCTAGATGAACATTTACATCCAGACCCCAACACAACCGCAAAAAAAGCATTTATAGGTATCCCAAGAACGCCGCAAGTGCCAACTTCTCAATCCCACAAAGCTCCACAAAACTCGATATCAAGATAGATCGATCATGCAGAAATGCTCTGTATATGCTAACACCCCATACCATCTCCAAGAAAAGAATCTAGTTCGAGTGCGACTTCTTGACGCGCATAGCGCCCTCATAAAGACCGCGGTCCAGAGCAGCAGCGACAGTCAAAGTACCACCGATAATAGCACAGACTCCAGTGAGGAAGCCAGTGAAAGTCTTCGGGCGAGCCTCACGGTTGATAACCTTCATAGGAGAGATGTCATAGTTGAAGAAAACACCGGGGATACCACCACCGGCATGCACACGCTCCTTGTGGCCCTCTGCGGCATCGTTGCCTCCCATAAGTGGACGCTTGTGCGAAGTGACCGAGTACTGGTGCGCCTCGATACTTCCGTGAGAACCATATCCAAGACCCTGGGCACCGAGAGGCGTCTTGTCGTAGGCACTGTGTATGGAAGATGAGAAAAGAGGATCCCAGCCAAGGGGCAGGTAAGAAGTCGAAACGACCTTGACAAAGTACATGAAGTTGTACCCGGGCTCGTCGGTCTCCTGCTGGGTGTCGTCGAGCGGGTTAGTGTGGTGGTGGTCGGACCACTGCCAGCGGTCAGCGAGCTCCGCAGGGAGCTGAGGTCCAAATCGGAGCTCGTGGATAAAGTGGGACATAGTGTGCTGGTCAGAGGGAGGTGCGTTGGGAACGACGTAGCTGTCGAGGTCATGGACGTGCATGTTGCCGGTTGTGAAACTGCGGCCTGGCGCAATGTGGAAGTTTCCTACCACCTTGTTCACACGCAGCACACCCTCGATCCGGCATCCCTCCTTGCGCTGTTCGGCGAGCTTTTCTGCGTATCCTTCACGGATGCACTGCTCAATGCCGCCGCCGTCGCCAAAGGCCCACTGCTTCTGAGCGTAGGCCTCGCGCACTTCGTCACAAGTGCTGCAGCATCCGGGCTTGATCGCATTCGGGGGTGCGTCTGGTACTCCACCACACTGGCCGCAGTAGTCTGGGGCCAGGTGCTTAGCAGCATCTGCTGGGGAGTGTCTGGGAGACAATGAGTTCATATTTGCGGTGGAAGGGGTTCCCGAGAGCCATCACTTACAGGTCCAAGGCCTGAACATCGATAACCTTTCCTCCCTCCAAGTGAGAACTGAGGCGGACCTTGTTCACACCATGTGCGACACCAACCTGCTGTTCACCAGAGACATCCATGACATCCAGTGTTAGGAGCTCACATGGCAACCGAGGGAAAGTCATGTTCAGATGAATCTCCATTCTCTCTCCTGCGCATCAAATACGAATCGTCAGTCACCTTGCTCCAATCTTCTTCAGATGCCATCGTGGGTCCGATCAGATCGAAACTCTATTCATACCTCGCGATTTGTCGACGACGAGCTCTGGTTGCACAACAATGCGTCGATAGTCGGCCCATTCTCCCCATACCAGCCACATGACGATTAAAAGGGAGGCAATGGTGATAACACCGCCGGAGTTTGTGCGAATTCGAGCATCTTCAACGGTCTTGGCGAAGGCGTCGAGCCTTGTGAATCGCGACTTTGCCATTTCGCCAGTCAGTTGACGACCATATGGTGAAGCGCAGGGCTTAGTTAGGGTCCGTGGACAGTGTGAATATCAGAAGTGCCTGTAAATCAAAGAGAACATGAACACGTTAGCTGGGGATTCATTGAACGCGCACGCCTCGGACCCATCGAGTCAATAGACAAAACAAACAATTGAAAATGAATAGAGACAATCATACCAGCAATCCAATATGTGCAAATCAATCCAAATACGGTATTATTCTAGCCGCGAAGGAGTGTGTTTGAGCTAGACAATCCAATGCCAGTCCGACATACCTGCAGCTCAATGTATGGAGATACCATTCAAAGGCCAGAAAACAATCTCTGATTGGTCAATGGCATTGATGAGTCATTATATTTACCACGTGACTATCAATCACTGCATCACGTGATCTTCACGTCACTTTTTGCTTAAACTAATCGGCCATTGTTCTTGCGCTTATTGACCACTTCTCTGTCGGATTTCTTGGAGTGTTGCAACTGCAACTTCTCTGTGTCATACTTTCTCTCTTTTGTCTACCCCTCGACACCCTCCCTTTCGATTTGCACTCCGCTTGCGACGCTCTTGCATGCTTGCAACTTTTTTTCCGTGCCTGATCTGAGGCGCAACGCGCGCAGCTTCCTTTGCTAGAGCATTTTCACCTTTCAACCACTTTCCTTGCTTTCCACGAATCCTCCTTCGTCTTCCAACGTCCTTCGACTCCACCCAAGAACCATCATGCCGTCGATGAAATCCCGCCGCGGCGGCGGTAGTGATCGCGGGGGCATTCGCAAGCGGGGTCCCACTCGCACCGACAGAGATGGCGATATGGATATGGATGCAGGTGGCTCTCGGGCCAAGGGATCACGTCCTGAGTCGAGCCGCTCTGGCGCTGGTGGCGTTCGCCCTCCAGCTCCACGCTCCGGAGGTACCACTGCAGGTGGCCGAGGTTCTGGCCGAACTGGTCGAGGTGGCCGAGTTCAGTCGCGTGACAAGACCATGGATGCGATTCAGCGTGCGATCGCCAGTACCGAATCGCAGGCCACTATCCGACAGAATCGCCAAAACGACAACAACAACCGCAAGCGCGAATCGGTTCCATTCAGCGTCCGTGGATGGAAACAGAGCAAGGTAGCTTCCGACAAGGACGGCGGCGTCGGGAGCGTTATCTCATTCCTTGAACGGCGTCTCAACTCCCTCACCAAGACTGGTCCTCGCGCAAGAATTACAAAGGTAAGTCCAACACTCGAAATGGCGGTCACCAACTTCAATCCTCGACATCCCCCGCTACCGTGTCCTCTCGTTTCCGAGGCTGGTCCTCTTACCGAACGATCATCGACACTTTTTGGGCTTATTGGCTTTTCCTCCACTGGGTGACCCCAGGTCAAGGTCCTTTGGCACCTTTCTAACTTTCAACTAGTCGCGCGTGGAAGGCGACACAGTTGTGGCATTTGTTCATCCTGATCTTGTCGACACAATGCTCCGAATCAACAACAACACCTTTGCTGGAATCAATATCAGCGTTGAGCCGTACGACCCCAACACTATGATCGATCATGAAATCGCCGCAGTGGAAACTGGTCCTGGCTCGACTGCCGATACCAAGGCAAAGATGACTACCATCCTTAGCAAGCGATTCTACCCCGATACCAAGCTTCTCGATATGTCGAAGCTGGCCAGCGACCCCGACCTGCAGGCCATGGGAATTTTCAACACCACTTCTACCGAGTCCAAGTTCTTCCCTGCTCTTATGAAGGTGTGGGACATGGGTTTCAAGAGCCCTTCTGAGAGACGAGCTGCAGTTGAAAGCGCCAGCCTTGCAGACAATCAGCTGAACAACATCACTGTTGTTACAACCCTCGCCCAGGCTGTTCCCGATATCAAGAACCTGGATCTTTCCAACAACAACTTGAAAGATGCCCAATCAATGATTGGATGGCGGTGGAAATTCCGCAGCCTCGAATTTCTAGATATGACCGGCAATCCTTTTTGTGCCGATCCCGAATTCAAGGACACTATGCTCAAATGGTACCCCAGGCTACAAAAGCTCAATAACGTTCAGGTCCGCACTCCCGAGGAGGTCGCTGCTCAAAAGAAGACACCTATTCCGGTTCGCCCTCCACACTTCCTAGATGAATCGCAAATCGGAGAGACCTTCGTCCGTGGGTTCTTTACTGGCTACGATAATGACCGCAACACGGTGATCAACAATGTCTACGACGAGAACTCGGTCTTCTCACTCAACATCAACACCTCAGCCCCCAGAGCTCCCAACAGCGAAACAGCAGCCTGGGATGAATATATCAAAAAGAGTCGCAATCTGCAAAAGATCAACCACCTTAGCGCTCGCATGTCGCGCTCGTTCAAGGGTGCTGAGAAGATTCGCGAAGTTTGGAATGCACTCCCTCCCACTCGCCACCCCGACATGACCGTTTTCCCTGAGAAATGGCTCATTGAGTGCAACCCAGTTCCCGGCCTGCCTGATCCCACTGGACAGAGCCCCACCGGAGTGGGTGGCCTTCTCCTGACGATCCACGGACACCTCGAAGAGAGCGTTGGTGGAAAGGTCGAGATGCGCAGCTTCGATCGGACCTTCGTCATTGGCCCTGGTGTGGTTCCTGGAGCTATACGAGTGGTCAGCGACATGTTCTGCCTTCGCGCCTACGGTGGACACGAGGCCTGGATCCCCGAAACCCCGGAAATTCCTCAACCTATTGCTCCCCCTGCTCCGGGTCCTGTCCCAGACGCTCCAGGAGCAGCTCCTGGTGGTGAGCATGCTCAGCGCGAACAGTTGATTGCGCAGATGAGTGCCAAATCTGGCATGACCCCTCAGTTCTCGGAGATGGCCTTGTCGAGCAATAACTGGAACCCCGAGCTTGCGTGGAAGAATTTCGAGCAGCTAAAGGTAAGCTCATATATTTCTCCCCTGGTGTCATTCCGTCATGTACTAACGGCCTTTATAGGCGCAAAACCAGTTGCCACCAACTGCATTCCTTGCTCCTGCGTGAGTTTTGCTCACTTCCCGTTTAGATTCCCATTCACTTGCGCTTTGGCTTGGTTGCTTTCGTTATTAGCTACACATACGCACCCCGAAAGGGTTGGACGTACGATGCATCGGATTGTGTTTTCTTTTCTAAATGTTTCAATATTTGTATTTGCATGGCTCCGGCGATGGGGGACAATTGTCATACTTCTGGACATGGGCCAATGGGCCAAAACCTAAAACAAAAAATGACAAACAAACATTACATAGTCTAGTGACTCTTTGTCCGTAAATGCAGTAAAATGGGGTTAGTAGGAAATGCTATCTATGTAGGCACAATGTAGGGTTGCGTAAGATGCCAAGCTGGCGCGCTAGAGCCATGCGGGTCGCGAATCACCTCCGCCATTCCACCTCTTCCACGCATTCCGCCTAAACTGTCTCGAGGCCAAGGGCGGGATGATACTTGCGAGCTGATGGAATGACTGCGATTACTCCCCCAACTACCGGCCACATGCCGCCAGACGAGGAACACCTCGATGCCTTGGATGCAGGTGCGGAACAATTGGCCTCTCGTGCTCATCGTGCATGCTAACACTAAGGAAATAACAGTGGACTACGATCCGATTGAACACTTGAATGCCGTTTTCTCCCATCCTTCCACCCTCTCCTCTGTCTCTCAGATCTCCGACGCCCTGCACCAATGCGAAGATGACCTTGACGATAACATCGCCACCCTCGTGGAGGAGCAGGTTACCTCCAATGCCGATAGCGTGGAACGGATACAGGCAGCCAAGGCTGATCTGTCAGAGCTATTCAAGAAAATCGACGACGTCCGGGAACGCGCATTGAAGACCGAGCAGGCAATCACCGACATGACGGCGGACATCAAGCAGCTGGACAATGCGAAGAAGAACCTGACACTCTCTATGACGGCGCTGAAGCGATTGCAAATGTTGACTACAGCATACGACCAGCTGCAGGCTCTCAGCCGGACGCGACAATACGGGGATTGTGCACAGCTACTCCAAGCCGTGATCCAGTTAATGGCCCACTTCAAGTCATACCGCTCCATCGACCAAATTGCCATACTGAGCCGGAATGTGGCAGATATACAACGTGATCTTCAGGAGCAGGTCTGTGAGGACTTCGAGATTGCCTTTGCAAAGGGTGAAGTAGGCCCCAAGCGGGCGATGCTCGCGGAGGCGTGTCTGGTCGCAGATGCCCTCGGTGATCATGCACGGTCTCGTCTGGTGACTTGGTACTGCAATACACAGCTCCGTGAGTACCGGCAGGTCTTCCGAAATAACGAAGAGGCTGGATCCTTGGATAACATCTCCCGCCGGTATTCGTGGTTTCGGCGCATATTGAAGATTTATGATGAAGAGAATGCGGCCATTTTCCCGACTTCGTGGCGGGTCGATGAGATTCTGGCCAATGTCTTTTGTGAAGGCACACGGGATGACTTCAAGGGCATCTTGTCTCGGTCTGTGCGCAGTGGACAGAATATTGATGTCAACTTGCTGCTTTCCTGTTTGCAAGAGACACTCGACTTTGAACATTCTCTCGAGCGCCGCTTTGCCCCTGCATCGCGTGCATCTACTGACACCTTTACTTCAACTGAACCGCCTGTGTTTAGCCAGTCTATCTCCGAGGCCTTTGAGCCATACCTCAGTGTTTGGGTCGAGGCCCAGGATAAACAGCTCGCAGCGCTGCTCCCTAAGTACCGGCAACAACCCCTTAAAGTTCCGGACGAAGAATTCAACTCGCACATTGTTATTTCATCCTCGACTGAACTTTTCACATTCTACCGGCATGCTTTGCAACAGTGCGCCAAGCTCTCAACTGGAGGCAGCCTGGCGGAGCTTGCAAAGGTATTTGCTAAATACCTGGATCAGTATGCCCAGCAGGTCCTTCTCAACTATATAAGTGAGCGACCAACAGGACACACACCATCTCGAGTCCCCACAATAGAAGAGCTGGTGTCGGTTTTGAACACCGCCGATTACTGCTACACAACTTGCAACCAGCTGGAAGAGAAGATCAGGGGCAGGTTGGACGAGAACATGAAGCAATCTGTGGATTTGCAAAGCCAAGCGGATTCATTCATGGGTATTGCGTCCGCTGCTGTACGGGGTCTGGTGCGACAAGTCGAGGTCGAGCTTGAACCATCCTGGCGAGAGATGCGTAACACGCCTTGGGCCAAGATCGAGGCTGTCAGCGATCAGAGCTCTTATGTGGGTGAAATGCTTTCTCGCACGAAAGATAAAGCATCAGAGATCCTCCAGCTATTGCACAAGCAGCAATATGCGCGTGCTTTCTCGGATCATTTGGTGGAGCTCATGTCGAGTCAGTTTATCAGCAATGTTTTCCAATGCAGGCCTGTATCGGAAACTGGCGCTGAACAGGTACGACGATCACCCTGTCCATTCTATCTTTCATCTTACTTACTCAATCTCTAGATGCTCCTCGACTCCTATACACTCAAGAGCGGCCTTTCATCCCTTCTCCCGGCCCCCGCTCCAGCCGGCTTCGTCAAACGCGTAAACACAAGCTTCTTCAAGATCGAAACGCTCCTCAAAACCCTCCAGGTCCGCCCATCACCACCAGAGGCTCTAGTCCAAGCATACCTAATCCACATCGCGGACCGCAACAACAACAACTTCCGTAAAATTCTCGATCTCAAAGGCATCCGCAGCCGCCAAGAACAAAACCACCTCGTCGAGCTATTCCAGCTCCACCGCGCCTCAGACCGCTACGCCTCAAGCCTCCAGCCAAACAACCCCATCCTCGCCGCCCTCCAAGGCCCCACAGCCACCGGCACGACCTCCGTATCTCAAGGCCTAGGACTCGGCAGCGCCACCTCAGCCATGCCATCACGTTTCGACGCCTCCATGCTCGGCTCTGCAATCATCTCCGCTGCAAAGGATGGCGTCGACCGTTTCGGGAACCCAAATCTGACGACCCTCGGCGCCGCAGGACTCCCCGCGTCTGGATCGGGCATCACCAGTCCATCGGGGACGTCATCTCCTGTTCCGACTGGATCCATGCTCCAGCCCAATAACGTGCAGACATCGGAAGGTACAGCCGCGGGTAATCTCAATGAGAACCTGAAGAATATTGGCAAATTCTTCCGTCGTGATCTAGGTGGATTTGGTGGGAGGTTTGGACGGAGTACCGAAGATGGAGCATAGTGGTGTGCTCCTATTTGATTATTCTTTTTATACACTCTATTTTTGATGGAGCATGGATACCACATGTCATGATTAGAAGGTACATAGCTTATATCCAGGCGTCTTATCTCTAATTAATGTCTGATGTTTGTATTTGACAATTGTATAGCTATTTTAGGCCAACTAGCCCTTGATGCTATCTCTCTCGTGGCGATGGCTGCTAACGTAACCAGACGTAAGCAGCAAGCTGGATATGCCGAGAAAGACAACAAGACAGACCCACGATGCAACCGAGGGTGCGTCATCCAATAACGGCGTTGAGTTCAAGGGATGGGTAGCACTGCCTCGCAACATGAGCTTAGAGCTTAGGCCTGATCTAAGGTAGCAATTGCGAGTGAGGTTTAAACTACTACCAACAGGATGACTACAAAGTTTGAAAGACATTGTAACTGAATAATTTCATTGAGTGTTGAAAATCAACTAAGACAACAACACAAGAGAACAGACGTTCTAATGGTATCATCCAGCTACAGAATTGCCTACGAGACATCGGCCTACTGTTGCAGGGCGAGAATCTGTAATCTTATCGCAAGTTAGCATTGTTTGCAAATCGAGTGCAAGTCAAAATGAGAGGCAAAAGCAATGTGTGAAGGTATGGCGTCATCAAAAAATTAGAGTGTTGTTGTTGCGTGTTTTTAATCTTCAAAGCGCCCCGGAGAGGGGCGTGATGCTCGGGGTTAAAAATGTATAATCATCCGCCAGGGTGACATTGTAACAGGGTGTGTGTTGTGGAAGCAAAAGTAGCAAAGAAAAAGATGTGAAAACTCACCAATTCAGTGGAAACGACAATGGAGCGCGGCTACGTTCCATTATACGAGTCCTAGATTTCCGAAGAAAATCGATTGCCAAGGCATCATGTTTTATTGCCAGGGGCTTTTTCAAGCTCTGGTTCAAGTAAATCTAATACATGGCATTGTCCCGTGGAGGCGCTTAGTCGAAGAGACCGAAGCCCATGTCCTCATCGGACTCCTCCTCATCCTCAGCGGGAGCGGCGGCAGCGGGGGCGTCACCACCGGAGGTGGCAGCGGCAGCGGCAGCAGGAGCAGCAGAGGCGTAGGCATCGGGGTTAGCGATGCGGTCCTTGAGCTCATCAATCTCGGGCCAGCTGTAGTCGGTCTCGATGGCGACAGCGAGGACCTTCTTGTAGCCGTTGATGAGAGAGTGCATGGTGGCAGGGATGGTGGGGTAGTTGGCAGCCAGGGAGATGGCAGTGATGGTCTGAATGGCCTGGGAGAAGGTCTTCAGGAGCTGCTCATCGGTGATGTCGAGGACATCGGCACCGAAGCACTGGCCGTTGTCGTAGACCTGCTGAATGGTCATACCGTAGGTGAAGGGGGAGATGTTCAGCAGGTTAAGGAGGGTAGCCTCGGAGGCACCGACCTTGTTGCCGGCCTCAACGAGCTTGAGGTCGGAGACAATTTCGATGGTACCACGGGCAATCTTGGTAGGGACACCAAGAGCCTGGAAGAACGCGGTCTTACCGGGTTCCATACCGGTGTTACCACCGGGGATCCAGACGTCACCGGGAGCGATGGCACCGGCACGAGCGGGAGCAGCGACACGGTTGGCCAGGATCTTCTCCTTGATGGCCTTCAGGTCGGCGTTGGTGAAGATGAAACCAACGTTGCCTGGGAGGTTCATATTAGCCAATTGGTTACATGCGACAAGAAGAAATAGTACACACCCCTAACGTGAGGCAGGAGACGCTCGAACTCGGGGTTCTCGGCGATGAAGCCCTTGAGAGCACGACGAACCTAAAATCAGAGCGGTCAGCGAGGGGTTCAAGGCTGGTATTGTCAATTGGTAGACATACCATGGTGTTCTTTCCCATCAGGACAACACCCTCTCCACGGAGGGAGATACGGATCTCGTGCATCTGCTGAGAGCTGACATTGTCGACACCGACAATGAAGACGGTGCGGTACTCATCGAGAAGCTGCTTGAGCTTCTCGAAGTAAGCGGTCTTGGTAGCTGACTTGCCCCCCATTTCTCCTTAATTTCGCTGAAGATAGGTTGTTTAAGGACAAGGTCGTTGTTGTGGTTGATGAAGAAGAGAAATGGTTTAGTGCGATTTCGGGAAAACTTTTTGGTGCGTTCGCTAGTGGGTCACGTGATGTAAAAAGTAGACCCGCCCATATGGACTTGACGAGAGACGACGGAATTCGATTGCCATTGCGATTTGAGTCTATTCTGCGCATTCGGGGATTTATCTGGAGCTGAATTGTAATCCCTTCAGCCGGATCGCCCACTTCAACATGCGTTATCTCCAGCACCCGTTTCAGTGTCTGCGATATGTCGCAAGAGAATCGGCAGGCCAGTCCGATTTGCTAATTGCTGCTGCCGGTGCAAAGATCTATTCATACTCTGCTTCTACTGGCGACTGCCTAGATGTCTTTCCGAGTGCGAATGAATCGACCGTGTCGGACGATCTCAACAGCCCCCCGGCAAGAGACGCAAGCTATCTTCGCCCTCTGAGCAGAAGGATGAGCAATCCGAGTCCGCAGGCAAGCAGTCAAAGGAAGATGTCAAGCTCACTTGGTCGAGTATTCCCCTCCTCATTGTGGCCCAAGGCAAATATGTAATTTTCCTTACCGCCGAGGACAAATGTATTCGAGTCTACAGCCTAAAAGACAATGGGCAGTTCGTAAAGGAGAGTGTCCGGTAAGTGCCCGTTTATCTCTTACAAGCTCACCAAGCTCATTACATATAGAACAATGCCAAAACGGCCAAGTGTGTTGGCTCTGACACCTAATGAGAATGACATCCTGTGCGCCGACAAGTTCGGCGATGTGTACATTATCCCGGTGATTCCCAGCTCAGAGTACAAGAGAGTCGTGGCCGAAGAGAAGGAATATGCTCCATCTGCCACGAATCTCACTGTGCACACGAAGCGCAACCTGGAATCCTTGGAACAACAGATGAGACAGGCTGCATTGAAGAAGAAGGCTTCAGCAGAGGCTACCGCACTCAACTTCGAGCATCAGGCCATTATTGGTCATGTTTCGATGCTGACAGACATGGTCTCTGTGACCCGGCCTGCAGACTCAATCACCAGTCACCCACGGAATTACATCCTCACTGCGGATCGTGATGAGCATATCCGTGTATCCCGTGGTCACCCCCAAGCTCATGTCATTGAGCAATACTGCTTTGGTCACACTTCTTTCATTAGCAAGCTTTGCATTCCTTCCTGGGCTCCAAATGTTCTCATCTCAGGTGGTGGCGACAAGCATTTGCTTGTGTGGAATTGGGTTGAGGGGCAGGTCTTGCAGAAAGTCTCTCTGCCTGAGTCAGAAACAGATATCACGGTTTCTGGAATCTGGGCTGTCTCCGATAATGCCGACTGCCTGAAGAGCATCTTTGTTGCATTTGAAGGGTACGTACCACTGGAGTCGGTGATCATTATCAACACTAAAACTGGCAGCAGATCTTCCCAACTTCTTTGCTACACTCTCGAAAACGACAACACGCTAAAGCAACAAGAGACCCTACAACTCTCAGGAAACGTCATTGATCTGGTTTCGATCGGTTCCAAGGACACCATTGCTGTCTCCGTGGACAACCTGCGGGAACCTAACTCGACCAGTGTTTGGCGATCATCTCCCCAGGCTCTTCTGGAAACCTTCCGGGTTGAGGTTGGAAAATGGGTCCCTGCCGAGGACTCTATTGTTTCCAGTATCAACACCGATAGCAGCACACTTGTTCACACGGAACTGGACGAGAAGACCACCAAATCGCTCAACGAGCAATTGTATGGTTTGTCCGTTCTCCGGAAGAATGGGTGGAATTAAAAGTATGCATGTCTTTTATGTACATTTAGCAAATATTTTAGATATCTCCAAACTCGCATGAGACTATGAAGCAATCTATGTTTTAATTGGCAAAAAGTATGAAAGAGTAGAGAAGATATTTCTGATGCTTGACGATATATATATGCGGGGACGTTTGTCTACCCAGATTTTGATTTTTCGAGCGAGCAGACATTCATTCAAACTTTGGATATTTTAACGAATTGAATTAATTTGAACAGTTAAAGGAAAACAATATTATCATATTCGACTTCGGCAGCTTTTTAGACAGATGCACAACTAATAAAACCTCCGACGTCCCGATCCGATCGCGGGGCCGCGGTACCCGGAACACTTGGAATTCCACTTCTCCTCCTTCATCCCACCACATCACACAATGCAGGAACAATTTGAGCCACTTAAGAACGATTTGCTGCTGAGGGCTGCTCGGGGTATGTAAAACTTGATTTTTCGAGTTGAGCGGAGCTGACAATCGCAGGCGAGAAGGTGGAGCGTCCTCCGATTTGGGTTATGCGACAGGGTGAGTTATTCCTACCATGCAGATCACGACCTAGAACAATTAGCTGACCTTGATTCTCTCTCAAACAGCTGGTCGCTACCTTCCCGAGTATCATGAAGCAAAGGGCGGCCGTGATTTCTTCGAATGCTGCCGCACACCCGAGATCGCATCGACCCTAACCCTCCAGCCCATCGAACGTTATGAAGGCCTCATCGACGCCGCAATCATCTTCTCCGATATTCTGGTCATCCCACAGGCCATGGGAATGGTCGTAGAGATGGTGGACAAGAAGGGACCCCATTTCCCAGAGCCCCTCCAGTCGCCAGAAGACGGGCAATACGCCAAGGTGATGGAGAAGGAAGTGGACGTGAAGTCAGAGCTGGACTACGTCTACAAGGCAATTTCACTCACACGCTTTAAACTGAAGGGTCGCGTGCCCCTCATTGGCTTCTGTGGTGCGCCGTGGACGCTGCTGTGCTACATGGTCGAAGGCGGTGGCAGCAAGCTCTTCGTGCAGTCTAAGAAGTGGGTGTACAAGTACCCGAAGGAGGCACAGGCCCTGCTGCAGAAGATTGCCGAGATCTGTGTGGAATACCTTGCCCTCCAGGTCGCTGCTGGTGCGCAGTTGGTGCAGGTCTTTGACTCGTGGGCTGGCGAGCTGTCTCCCACTTCGTTTGCTTCCTTCTCGCTTCCTTACCTGCGCCACATTTCCGCCAACCTGCCCAAGCGGCTACAGGAGATGGGCTTGGAGCCTGTTCCCATGACGGTTTTCGCCAAGGGCGCTTGGTATGCTCTGGACGACCTTTGCCAATCGGGTTACAATGTTGTTGGCCTGGACTGGCTGCACGATGCTGGTGAGGCTATGCGCATTGCTAATGGCCGTGTTACCATCCAGGGTAATGCGGACCCCGGCATGCTGTACGGTGGTCGCCCGGCTATTACCGAGACTGTCGAGCATATGGTGAAGGGATTCAAGAAGGGCAAGCAGGGATGGATCTGTAACCTGGGTCACGGTAAGTTGAGCCTCATATTAGGGCTTCATATCGAGCTAATTAGTCATGCAGGTGTTACGCCCTTTGTCGACCCCGAGCATCTCAAGTTCTTCTTCGAGGAGATCCACCGGTTGACCGTATAATTGGACATGACCAAGAGCTTAAAAGTGGTCGGCTTCTTCCCCGACTGAGATCATAGAAGACTACATGGAAACAAAAAGCACTCCCATCTCACGATTCGAATCGTTGTCAATTCTCAGGGTATTTAAGGCTACATAAGCAAGCCTAATGAAACTAGACAGCGATATCCTCATTCCTGTACCGCAACCAGCATCAGTATCAATGACCATGAACAAGACAAGAAATCCAATGCAGCCACGCGCATCACAACATCCAAAAACAAAAACAAAAACAAAAACATACCATAGCTCCGGCTTCTCCTTCATAAAATTGGCCATCAATTCCTTGCACTCAGCATTATCAAGCACAATGACCTCCTTCCCGCGGTTCTTGAGCAACTCCTCACCACCCATAAAGCTCACATTCTCACCCACCACAACTCGCTTCACCTTGTAGAGAATACAAGCACCAGTACACATATCACAAGGTGAGAGAGTGGTATACATAGTAGCACCCTCGTAAGCGGAAGCAGGAAGCCGGCCGGAGTTTTCAAGCGCGGACATCTCGGCCTTCCATGGAAATGTTCACGTTAGCATATTCGTCCCTACTTGTAGATCTGTCCCAAGTCTAGCTCTAGGATTCATGGTATATAGTATCAAGGTAGACTGACATGCAAGACGGCGCTCCCCTTCTGCACGCGCATGTTGTGACCTCGGCCTAGGATCTTGCCGTCTTTGGATACTAGAGCGGCGCCGATTGGGACGCCTCCCTCGGCCAGACCTTGCTTGGCCTCTTCGATTGCGGCGATGAATCCTGGATCTTGTTCCATGGTTGTTATATGGATTGTGGGCGTAGAAAAAAGAGAGAGAGAGAGAGAGTGATATAGGCCTAAGTTGTCTATATTCGGGGACTTCCGCCCCTCTATGACGGGTGGACCATGAAGAGCCTTCCCTCGGCTTTATCGATAAGTGGCGTGTGGCTAAGTGGCGAGTTGGAATTTTCTGATTACATGAGTATGTCTATACAGTCCAGTAAGTGAACATGTTGTAACATGTTCACGTATAACGTTTCTGTTCTACTAATTTAGTACATGATATGCATGTCTTGAATACATAACGCATCTTATGAATAATTAAGTCTTAGTCAGCGGTAATTTACATACGCATGGAATACGTGCGAAGACCATAGAATGCCGCGGAATCCCGTAGAATCAGCGCTCGGGCCAGAACTACAGGGAAGAAACCACCAGAAGAGGGCAAATAGAGTGGTGTAAATAGTCAGATGTAAAGAAAGAAAGCACACTTTTCTAAGTAGATCTTCTTTCAAGAAATTGAGAAAATCAAATCCAAAGCCTGGGTTGCCCTGGTAATTTATACGAGCCCCATACAGCCCATACAGTGCCTGGCAAAAAAGTTACTAAGCCTTTTTTTGGCTTCGATTATTGTTGCAGATAACCATCTCTTCTCCCCCTCCATCCACCAGTTGTTGTCCTTCTGGTTCTAAGACTGTCAAGTTTTTGACCTTTGTGCCTCTCTATTTCTCACCGGGATTCCATCGGATCGTCCCTCATTCCTTCTTTTTGACACTTTCCATTCCCCCGCACATTTCACAATGGTCAAGGAAACGAAGTTCTATGACCTCTTGGGCGTATGTTCGATCCATCGCTGCTCTCCCAGTTTGCATTTAGTCCAGATCTAACATGTTTCGTCGATTTCAGGTTGCCCCCGGGTGTAGCGAGGCTCAGCTGAAGACTGCCTACAAGAAGGGTGCTCTCCGGTACCACCCTGGTACGTGAACAATCCGTCCGATAGCGCTTTCAGAATCTCCCAAACTGACATCACTCTGTCTGTAGACAAGAATGCCGACAACCCCGAGGCTGCAGAGAAGTTCAAGGAACTGTCGGCCGCTTACGAGTGTCTCTCCGACCCCGAGAAGCGTCAACTGTACGACCAGCTTGGTGAGGAGGGTCTGGAGCACGGTGGTGCCGGCGGTGGCATGAACGCCGAGGACCTTTTCTCGCAATTCTTCGGCGGCGGCGGTGGCGGTCCCTTCGGTGGAATGTTCGGTGGTGGTGGTATGCGCGACCCCGGTCCCAAGAAGGCCCGCACAATCCACCACGTGCACAAGGTCAACCTGGAGGACATCTACAAGGGCAAGGTATCCAAGCTTGCTCTCCAGAAGTCCGTCATCTGTGGTGGCTGTGATGGCCGCGGCGGTAAGGAGGGTGCCGTCAAGGAGTGCACAGGCTGCAACGGTAGCGGTATGAAGACCATGATGCGCCAGATGGGTCCCATGATCCAGCGCTTCCAGACTGTCTGCCCTGACTGTAACGGTGAGGGTGAGATCGTCAAGGATAAGGACCGCTGCAAGAAGTGCAATGGCAAGAAGACCGTTGTTGAGCGCAAGGTGCTCCACGTCCACGTCGACAAGGGTGTGCGCGATGGCCACAAGATCGAGTTCCGCGGTGAGGGTGACCAGATGCCCGGTGTCATGCCTGGTGATGTCGTCTTCGAGATTGAGCAGAAGCCCCACCCCCGCTTCCAGCGCAAGAATGACGACCTGTTCTACCAGGCTGAGATTGATCTGCTTACCGCTCTTGCTGGCGGTGCCATCCACATCGAGCACCTCGATGACCGGTGGATGACCGTGAACATTGCCCCTGGTGAAGTTATCACTCCTGGTATGTACCCCTGTTGCACCAGCCTTTGGACAATTTGCTAACCTTTTCCAGATGCCATCAAGGTCATCCCCGGCCAGGGTATGCCCTCGTTCCGCCACCACGACCACGGCAACCTGTACATCAAGTTCGATGTCAAGTTCCCCCAGAAGGACCAGCTCCAGAACTTGGACCTCCTGGAGAAGGTCCTCCCCCTCGTCTCGAGCAGACCCAGCCCCCAGCTGACGCCATGGTCGAGGACTTTGAGCTGGAGAGTATCGAGAGCAGCGAAGGCGAGAAGGCCCGCGCCCACGGTGCCGCCGGCGCCGGCATGGAGGATGACGATGACGACGTGCCCGGCGGTGCCGAGCGTGTGCAGTGCGCTTCGCAGTAAAAGAATTTCGAAGACCGTTCCATACCGTTTCGATCGAGAGATGTCCACCCGTGACGAACTTCGCTTATGATACCAATGTGAAGCGGGCACTCCCCTCCTCTGAACCGGAACATCTTTCGTGTTTGTCTTTGTGCTTTGCAAATGGCGTTCTCTCTGAAGACCCCGGAAGATATCAGTGATTTTCCTTCTCTTCTCGGTTCTCTTATTCTCAATTCCCTGTAATCTCTTTATTTTCCCTGTCCTCCCAATCTGCGCTTCTTTGCATACTCTTTTCACCTTGCTTTTCTTCCCTTACCTTTCCTTGCTTATTTTGTCTTTGGGAACCCGGGGGTTTGTGGCGGATCTGATCTTGCACTGTGAGGGGAATTCGGAAAGAGTGATGAAGCTGAAGATGGAGAATGAGACCACGACGGCCCAGGTGTTTGGCAGAGGGATTCAACGATCTGGTTTTTCTTTGATTCGACCCTGGGATGGGATTGTGGCATGATCATGATGGATTCGTTTTTTACTTTTCTCTTCCTTTTTTTGTTTCTAGCATGCACTCTGATGACCCTTGAATAGACATTGCGTGGTTTTTCGTTCCAATGAATCATTCATCCGTATGGATGGCTTCTGTGCATTCGAGATTGGATCTGTAGATGTGATGTTAGACGCGTGTAGATGAGATGGAAGTGAGAGGGTGTCGCGAGATGCGAGATGCCAGATGCGATATAGCTTCCAGCCCTCAAGGTCCCCCGCGCTTTATTTCTGCTTGTGGGACTGGCCATCTCCATTTTTCGAGTGTAGCTTGATTGGCCACTGCAGTGAATGTTCCAGCATGTGATGGAAATCACCAAGGGATTGGATGGAGTGGATGATGCGGATGGGAAGAGCTACGATGATTAGAAGAGAATAAATGGATTCTGCCTTGGCGGTATGATCTTCGAGGCTCTTATATCACTGATGTCCATTTGCTTGTTTGTTTGCTCAGTTATTGTGAATACGCCTTCTAGGTGGCAGTTCTACGATCTCCCATTCCCTTTCTCACCATGCCTACTGTTAAACCGGATCATTGATCCAACTCTTCCAAGCCTGTGAAAAAAAAGGAAGGCCATTTATCTCATTGGGCCTGGGCATCACATTAGAGATAGACAAGGGTACTCGACGCGGACGGGGTATAGGGTTAAATAGGGCATCGTTGTTATACTCTTCCCCGGAAGTAATTACTCCTGTATTATAGACAGCTACATCGACCACCTATGACACCATACTTGAAGCAAGGAAGCAGGATGGAACAGTCTATATATTCATTTAGCACATAGCAATACCAGGCGGACCCTGATAATAGAGAGACCACATCTTCACAAAGTTCCAAGTATAGTGATAAAAATCCGCAGTCATATCAACTCTATGCAGCATACTCTAGTCAATATTTTTCTCCATGTTACCCTCGATCGACTCATAACCGCACTCTAGTTGCTCATCAAGGTCTGAATCTCCATCAATTGCATACTACTCCCTCAATGACTTCTACCATCTACCTTTAAGAGTCTCTGACGCTAATACAGGTTGCTATAACACCGATGACTGAAAATGACCTGTAAAAATCAGGATTCTTTAGTTACCTTATTGAAAGACATTCTGGATCTCTACAAGCTTTACAGCAAGCAATGATGTGACGCCTACTATTATAAGGTCCATCTTACTAGCTAGGAGGAGCTCAAGATACTACTAGGTTCCAATACGCGGAAAATCACATACAAAGCAGTCCTTTCGGCGAACATACGAGCAGCTTTAATCTCTAGATCATTCACCAATAGCTATACAATATATTGTCTCGGTTCTGTTTGATTATCACATAGTCTTAGTATTAGATTGACATATGATTTCAATCTCACTAACCATTCGGCCCCACCGAACCCGGTGCGGTATATCGGAAATAATCCAAATTCTGTGATACGGTTGGTCAATCATGGCGGGAAAGGGTTAAACACCCAGCAAGTGACGCAACCCCGTGTCGCCTATCTATCCTGAAAGTGCCGGTTAGAGTGTGATTTGGCATTGAAACGAAGCTTTGCGTTACACTGCATTTCTTTGATGAAGCATGACCGTTAAATGAGTAAGACGTGACGATATCCCGCAGGCGAACCTGCCTAAACTGGTAAGGTTACACAGCATATCGCAAAACCCGACCATATAGGGGTATTCCCCGATCTAAGTCATTCATACGTAAACTACATTGCATGCTCTTTCTTTGGGGATCACGACTGGCCTGAGGTGCTTATGAGGAGGCGTCCGACCCTCCATTACAAATGCAAGCGAGGTCAAATCGGTCGGATTGATTAGCACGAGAAATTTGGTGATTTAAGATCTAAAGTCCCTTGACTTGGCCCAAGATGCACAGAGGACTGCGACACATTTGATTGTAGAACACAATTAATTGGGCTCCACAAGTTGACTCTGATAGCATCATCAAATCACTACGAGCGGCATGCCCGCTATGGAACCCTTAACTACTGATGTGTTTCGCGTCATCGAGCATGTTGTTCCTTGTCAGCATATTAGCGAATACCCCGGAGCAAAAGCAAACGGACAGGCCAATGATTTGAAACTGGCAGTGAAGCAGTACATTCCGATTGATAACCCTGACCCACAAACTGGCGATGTGACCATATTGGCCGCGCACGCCAATGGACTTACTAAGGTACGTTAAATGATAATGCACCAGAATATCCAGGATATTGTGAGACTGAATATGGCACAGGAACTCTATGAGCCCTTCTGGGAAGATCTCTATGCGTCTTCAAAATCCCAAGGATTCAATATCCGAGCAATTTGGATGGCAGATGTATCAAACGAGGGACAGAGTGGTATCATCAATGAGGGAATTCTCGGAGATGACCGTAAGCCCTATACCCAGATATTTTTGCATCGAGCTGACCGACGAAGCGAGCTGGTTTGATCATTCCCGGGATCTCCTTCATCTTGTCAATGTTAAGCGCTCTGAGACGCCACAGCCTATAATTGGTGTTGGGCACAGTCTGGGTGGCATACCGATGTAAGGCTAGAACATTATGTTGTTGCTTACCAGCTAACAGACCTAGCGCAAACCTAAGCTACATGCATCCCAGACTCCTACACTGCCTTATTCTCATGGAACCCGTCATTCAACGTGAGAGAACGAAGCTAGACGATCACCGGAATCTCGACAACAGCCAGATGGCCACTGAAATAACCAAGCTCTCTTTATTCAGGCGTGACAAGTGGCCTTCCCGAAAGGCAGCAGCAGCAAGCTTCCAACGCAACCCTTATTTCCAAATCTGGGATCCAAGAGTGCTGAAGAAGTGGATCAAATACGGACTACGCGACACCCCGACAGCAGTCTATCCTCTAGATAACGAGCCACACGACAAGACCGATAGGGGAGACATACCCGTTACATTGACAACGACACGTCACCAGGAGGTGTTCAACTCCACAAGGCCAGTTTGGGACTATTCAGGCCGTTCTGGCAGCCACCTTACACATCCAGACCTTGACCAGTCAATACCAAAGTCCTACAGATTTTATCGCCCTGAATCAGCTCGAGTCTTTGCGCAACTTGCGTTTCTCAGACCAAGCGTGCTATACATATATGGCAGTAAATCTGGCTTGGCGTTTCCAGCTTTGACAGCTGACAAACTCCGAAATACCGGCACAGCAGTGGGCGGCAGTGGAGGTGCTGCGAGGGGTCGTGTCAAGGAGATATTGCTGGACCAGGTTGGGCACTTGATTCCCCTAGAGGCCCCTCAGCGCTGCGCGGAAAATGTCGCTCCCTGGCTGCGCTCTGAATTGAGCCGTTGGCATTCGGAAGAGAAAGCCCTTGCCGCCAGGTTTGATAGGGCCACAGCCACTGAACAAGCCTCCAGTAGCGATCAATGGAAGGAACTCTTCGCTAGCCGAGGAAGTCGCCCGCAAGGCCCTGCCACGTGGAAGCTGTGATAGCTAAGATTATCTGCTCTGTTTGAATATATCGGTTATGCTTTGTATCGTTAATATTCTTGTCAGTATATGTTTCTATTTTCCGGCATACAGAAGAACAGAAGATACTAGAACCAGTTATACTGTTGTTTACGTTCAATTTGAAAGCTTGTGCTTCCTCACCGAGTGAGAAATTTCCAACAGATAGCAGATCCGAAGTCATATTCCTTATCACCCAAGCCTCAGGTGCACAATCCAAATCTTAGCAGTCTAGATACCGCGCATGTTGAATATATGATGGAGGTTCAAATGTAATCTACATTAACCGACATGTTATTCTATCTTATTAAGGACCAGGCGCTATACAAGGAACTGCAGACCGAGCTAGATTCGTTCTTGCCTGAGGGGAGAGCGAAGCATCTAAGCACATATGACTCTCGAACTTCAATCTACCTTTCGAATTAGTTTTCAACACCTTCGACTAATCAGAAGAGAAACCCCCTGTCACCTTTTGTCATATGATGCAAAGTCGTCATGTTTATGATCCCCGCCAGAGTAGTGTACGGAGTACTGAACTATACCCTCCAACGAAGCTCCAAGCAAGCTTAGCGAGGGACCCGGTAGAACCAACTGCTCGGGTAACCCAAACCAAACAAGCCGTTCAGGAAACCCTGCATATGCACCCATACCATACATCTCCGGGCCCGGACCCCGAGCACCCAAAAAGCCGCAGCTTGACATCAGCCACATCGAGACAAGATCCAAGCACAGCAAAGTGAAGCGATTATATGGCGTGCTCAGGCGTCGAGACCACCAAGGCTAACGCCATCACCATACTGAATCGCGTATATGGAGGACGGGAGTAGAAAAAGGGTATATCCTGGCGAGGACACTAACCTAACACCAACAATACTATACATTAGCGGCAGCGGTGTAGCGAGGTGAAAAAAGAAAAGAAACGCTAAAAGGGCGTGCTCCAACTAATAAGATTAATCAAGCTTGACCATCCCGCCGGCACAGATGACAAGGACTCGTATTCCGGCAGCCGGCGAGGCTGAAACAGACCCAGACCCAGGAACGTGGCCAGGTGAGCATGAACATGCATCTCCGAGGGAAGGATTATGTTGCATGGCGCGTTAAGCTAAGTTAGCACGTTTGGACATGCACGACCGAAGGCGTCTGCAGATCTCGCATAGATTGGAAAGAGTCAGGTGCTGGCATGGCGCGACGCCACGAACTCTTCCTGGGTGTGTGGTTTGAGGGGTTTGCCGGATTCCTTTTTCTGTGGTTGTGATCTAGGTCTACTCGGTGCAGGGTATACGGGATAGTGTTGCGTGATATATGACCTAATCGCCGAGGATTGTAAGTTACCAGAGAGTAGCTATTACCAATACAGAAGGTAAGTAGGGATACTCTATAACTGTTAGTTAAGGAACAAATAACGTGGCATAAAGTTAAGGGCTGTAGCGCATACATTGACAGCCAAGAAACAGACAGACACGGACACCGAAAAGACGCAATCAAGATCTAGATGGCGTCATCAACTTTAAAGTCTTGGGAGGAAATCATGCATATTTTAGCGCCATATCAGGTTGGACCTCGAAGTTAAGGGATATTGCTTATTTGCCTTTTGCCTTTTCTCTTTCCCAGCTAGCGAGATAGGTGGTAATTGCCTCAAACGGAAATGGACATTCTTCACGCCTAGTGTGTCATCCTATACTTCAGTCTCACCAGGGTCTGGCACCACTGGAACGACCGGGGCCCCGAGTAGTTGGCCGATCACTCGGACTGATGGGCCAGAATATCGTTAGAGAGGGTGTTCTATGCACCTAACAGATAGAGTAGGGAGCGCCGAGCCCACACGGGCCCCTGCCAAGCGGATGCGTCTATATGAGTTTAATGAGTGAGCTAGGGGGTTTGGACCACGCGGCAGCGGATGTGGGGATCTAAACCATATGAAGCGTATACGAGTACGTAAGTAAGAGTTGTACTCCGTATGTTTAAGTTATCTGATGCAAAATTAGAATGTCATGGAAGTATAATCTTAGTAAATGAAGGCGGTCAAAGCAGGCAGGAAAGACAAGAAGATTCTTGAAACTTGAACGTGGAACCAGATTCCTCACGACTTTCACCATCGCACGTTGAGATTGCGTGTTCTATATGACCTATGATTGGCTGTAGGGCCCCACTGGCTGATCGTCTCGGCGCAAATTGTGTGGAGGCGCACTTTCATTCGTCATGCGGCTGCTTGGCAGTGGCTCGTGTTCTGGAAGGAAGTCATCTATGAACTTCAGTCTGTGAGGTAAAGTCATGGGGACAACGGGCTTGCTCTGTGCAACACATTTCCATGTCATTAGCACTGGCTAATGAAGTGGTTACAGACTGATTGTTGCGATAGAATAAAGCCAAGTGTCCGCCTCCATGGGACCCCGCTGGGCGGAAGCTGTGCTCCATCACTCGTCATCCTTCCAGACCGGCGGAGTGGGACCTGTGGGTGCTCACACTTGATCGGCTTGCGATCATCGGACGGGAGCCGTGTGAAATTGTTCTCAGAATGGGCCTTCGCTTTGATGTGCCATTTTTGCTTCTTTCTTAAACCCTCTATCTTCTTCTCGTTTTCATCCTTGTTCAGCCAAGCGAGCTAAGCGTGGGAAAAATTCAAATCTTAAATTGAAATTGGAGATTTGATATTGCGCCATTTGCTTCCGAATCACGCATCAACGGCCCCTATACCTTTTTGTCTCGACATGCTTGTCTGATCTTCTGGTTTGACATTCTTTTTATATCCCTGATCATCGCCAGTTTTTGGGGAGCTCATCTCTCATCCGAAGTCTCCGTTTTACACGTGGTCCTCGTGGCAGCTTCGTCCAATCCCGGCTATATTTCAATCCCGGTCTGTACAAGCAACCATGAGCAGTGAGACCACCTCCAAGCTGGGTCATACCCTGGCCAAGGGCCTCGGTATCAAACTCTCCTACAGAGACCCTTTGGGTGCTACATCTGGCTCCGAGCCCGTCACAAGAGGTGAATCAACCTTTTCTATGGGCACTGTCGACACATATTCCTACAATGAACCCGAACCGACCAGTCTCGATTGGATTCGCGAGATCACCCCTACCGGACGCCAATTCGTTCAATATATGATCAATCTGTTCCCTTTCCTTAATTGGATCGCCAACTATAACGTCCAATGGCTGATCGGTGACTTGATTGCCGGTATTACCGTCGGTGCCGTCGTCGTGCCGCAGGGTATGGCCTATGCCAAGCTCGCTGAGTTGCCAGTGCAGTTTGGTTTGTACTCGTCCTTTATGGGAGTCTTGATTTATTGGTTCTTTGCCACGTCCAAGGATATTACTATCGGAGTGAGTGATCCTGCGACCGATTGAACGAAGATAAATGTACTGACTTTACTAGCCCGTGGCCGTTATGTCAACTTTGACTGGAACAATTGTGCTTGATGTCCAGAAGATATACCCCGATTACCCTGCCCATTTGATTGCTTCTTCTCTCGCAGTCATCTGTGGTGGCATTGTCTTTGTGTTGGGTCTTTTCCGCGTTGGTTTCATCGTGGATTTCATCCCTCTCCCTGCTATCTCCGCCTTCATGACTGGTTCCGCTATAAACATTTGTTCGGGCCAGGTTTCCACCATGCTGGGCGAGACTGCTAGCTTCAGTACCCGTGGTGCTACCTACAAGGTCATTATCAACACCCTCAAGTACCTCCCGACTTCCACAATTGATGCTGCTATGGGTGTTACTGCTTGTGCGATGCTTTACCTCATCCGCTCAGGGTGCACATATGCCGCGAGGAAACAGCCTCAGAAGGCCAAGGTTTGGTTCTTCGTCTCGACACTCCGGACCGTGTTTGTGATCCTGTTTTACACCATGATCAGTGCCGCCGTGAACTTGCACCGCCGGGATGACCCTCTGTTCAGCCTCCTCGGCACAGTTCCTCGTGGTTTCCAGCAGGCCGCTGTTCCCGTCATGGACCGTAAGATCATTGCAGCATATGCCAATCAGCTTCCAGCTGCGGTGATTGTTCTTCTTATTGAACATATCGCTATTTCCAAGTCTTTCGGTCGTGTTAACAACTACACCATCGACCCTTCCCAGGAGTTCGTGGCCATTGGCGTGACCAACCTGCTTGGACCTTTCCTTGGTGCTTACCCTGCCACTGGTTCCTTCTCCCGTACTGCCATCAAGTCCAAGGCCGGTGTTCGCACACCCCTGGCTGGTTGTATTACTGCGGTCGTTGTGCTGTTGGCTATTTATGCTCTACCAGCTCTTTTCTTCTATATCCCCAAGGCGTCTCTAGCCGGTGTTATCATCCACGCCGTCGGTGATTTGATCACTCCCCCTAACACCGTGTATCAGTTCTGGCGTGTGTCCCCGCTCGATGCACTCATCTTCTTCATCGGTGTCTTTGTCACCGTATTCACTTCTATTGAGAACGGCATTTACTGCACCATTTGTGTCTCGGTTGCGGTTCTGCTCTTCCGCGTGGCCAAGGCTCGTGGTCAATTCTTGGGCCGTGTCACCATCCACTCTGTGGTCGGCGATCACCTGTTGGACACCGATGGTAAGTATGGATCTTTCGGAAACAACAAGTCTCCCTCCGACGACGAGGAGCACCACCACCGCACCATCTTCCTTCCCATCAACCACGGCGATGGTTCCAACCCGGACATTCAGGTGGAGCAGCCTCTTCCCGGTATCTTCATCTACCGCTTCTCGGAGGGCTTCAACTATCCCAATGCAAACCACTACACCGACTTCCTCGTACAAACCATTTTCAAAAACACCCGCCGAACCAACCCGCACACCTACCGCAACCGCGGCGACCGTCCCTGGAATGACTCCGGTCCTCGCCGCGGCAAGGAGGGTAGCGACGACGACTCCCACCTACCCCTGCTACAAGCCGTCATTCTCGACTTCTCATCTGTGAACAATGTCGACGTTACCTCCATCCAGAACCTGATTGACGTCCGCAACCAACTCGACCTCTACGCCTCACCCCGCTCCGTCCAATGGCACTTCGCGCACATCAACAACCGCTGGACCAAGCGCGGTCTCGCCGCCGCAGGCTTCGGCTACCCAACTCCCGTCACCAATGAAGGTTTCCACCGGTGGAAGCCCATCTTCAGTGTCGCCGAGATCGAAGGCAGTTCCTCAGCCGCGGCCCACGCAGAGATCATCAACAACCAGCGCGAGCAAGCCTACCACAAGAGCGAAGACGTGGAATCAGGCCTCAAGTCGGAATCCGCCGCAACCGAGCGCGAGACCCATGGCATCGAGACGTCCTCCGAGGACTCGAATGTCATCACCGAAGACAAATTCCAGCGTGATATCACGGACAGCAAGGCTTACCGCAGTCGTCGCAAGGTTGCACTCGTGCAGGGCATGAACAGACCTTTCTTCCATATCGACCTGACGAGCGCATTGCAGAGTGCAGTCGCCAACTCGTCTGACGAGGTCCCGCACCTTGAATGATTTATTTTTGCTCTTCTCTTTTCTCTTTTACATACTCGTTCCATCTCGATTTGCATACATGTCTTCTTGCTCCTCTGCATCGATCATGGTATCCTCCCTGGTTTGGAGTCTGATTTGATCTGATTAATCATTTTCACACCTTTCCACATTTAACAATTGACATTTGCTGTCTCTTGTACCTGTTTTTGTTCTTATCACTTACCACTGTCTATATTGATCGGATGCATTCCTGGAAATATGGACATCCTAGTGTGTATATTCTTTCGGCGCTATTCCTTGGTTTGCGTGGGTTGGTTTATTGGAAGAAAAGGAATGGAATTGGAATGATTCGTCCTTTGGTGGATTGGTTCCTAGGGATACCCTTTGATATTTTGAATTTAGAGATCAATCTTTGGTCATTCTTATCTTATTTTGAATTAATTGTGCAAGTGTAGAATCGAGTGTTTACTCGCAATGATATTATAGAAAACCCTAATCAGCCTTCGTGTCCGCCTCGGATACCGATCCTCTCTTGAAGAATTCGCTTTCTGCGATTCCTTGATCATGATGCCAATACAGGCCATCCACGCCATCACCCCTGGCCGCTTGAAAGACATACATATCGGGAAAGTTATTAGGAAATTTTCCGAACCGAACAAGCTTTTATGTCTACGGAAAAGTGGTTGAGCACGAATCTCCCTCCCACTTCACAACAAGTACCGTCAATTATAAGTTATTATGATCTGTATATTGGTACCTTGTGTGATGTCGTCCAGAACAATGGTGCCAAGATTGCTGGGCATTGCTGTCGGAGCTTGCTAGAGTATGTTGATCACAACAAAGGTAGAAGTCATCCAAGCTACGAGGAACGCAGCATTTTTGAATAGAACAAGGGTTATGGCCCTCGCATGGTCTACACGCCCTACTTCCATCTTCTCCACATCTTCGAAGTGCAGCCACTCAACCCATTGAATAGATCATTTTTGCTGCTTATGGCCAAAGTTTACGCAGAGAAAGCCTCACACAATGTATAGCTAGATAAAAGCAGACACAGCTATGAGAGTTGGCCGATCCAATGGGTCTTGTTGATGGAGTATTTATCCGACAATGACCAATAGCTCAAGGATTTGCATAGCTAAACGGCATATACGTTTAGCTCACGGTAACATGTGTAAAGCAAAGAACAATATACTGAGTATTAAACAAACGAGGAGACGAGGTATACAAAGCCGATAGAAAGGACCTCGGTTCAGACCCTTCCCGAGATGCGAAATACGCCGCATCTACCAGAACACCCAACCACACTCGGTATTTAAGGCTTCAGCTTCTAAACACAAAGTCCCAGAACCATTCCAAATCCACGATGTCTCTAAAACTAAGCTATCTGCGGCGCCCCGCACTACACTTCGGCACGATTACTTCATGCATCACCCCAGCTCGAACATGTCTTGCCCAATATAGCTCCCACTCCCCAATGGGATCAACGACAACCACACGCAAGAAAGTAACCATCCAAACCCTGCGTAACCTCTACAAAAAGAACGAACCCATCGCAGTCCTCACAGCATCCGACTTTCCCAGCGGCCATGTCGCCGACACAGCCGGTATGGAAATCGTCCTTGTTGGCGATAGTCTTGCGATGGTTGCTATGGGTATGGAAGATACAAATGAAGTCACAATGGACGAGATGCTTCTACACTGCCGCAGTGTGAATCGAGCTGTTAAGAGTGCCTTCACAGTAAGTACCAATCCCAATCCCAATGGCAATCCCAACCCCCAATCCAAGTATACAATCAACACCCCATCCAACAACGCACTAACAACCCATCCAGATCGCCGACCTCCCAATGGGCTCCTACGAAACAAACCCCGAAAAAGCCTTGACATCCGCAATCCGCATGGTGAAAGAAGGCGGCATGCAAGGCATAAAACTAGAAGGCGGCGCAGAAATGGCACCAACAATCCAAAAGATTTCATCCGCGGGCATCCCAGTAATGGCACACATAGGCCTAACCCCCCAACGGCAACACAGTCTCGGCGGATTCCGCGTGCAAGGCAAATCCGTCACAGGCGCCGTGAAACTGCTGACTGACGCGCTGGCCGTGCAAAAAGCTGGCGCATTTATGATCTTAATCGAGGCGGTGCCGTCTGAGATTGCGGCGATTGTGACGCGGCGGTTGAGTGTTCCTACTATTGGGATTGGGTCTGGGAATGGATGTTCTGGGCAGGTTCTTGTTCAGGTTGATATGCTTGGGAATTTCCCTGAGGGGAGGTTTTTGCCTAAGTTTGTTAAGACTTATGGCGATGTTTGGGGTGAGGCGAGGAGGGGGATTGAGGCTTATCGGGGGGAGGTCAAGAGTAGGGCTTTCCCTTCGAGGGAGTTTACTTATGGGGTTGATTCGGAGGCTTTGGTTGAGTTTGAGAGGATTGTGGACGGAATGCCGGCTGAGAAGGAGGAGTGATTTGGTTTATGGTAGATAGCACCTCCAGAACTCGAATGGAGAGTGATGTTGAACAACAATTTCAAGAGAGTTGTTCGTGTGTGTATGTTCTATATGGCTTTGGAGGACTATACCAAAGCATACACCTCAGCACACCCCACAGATATCTGCTTCGAAGCCACAAAAGAGTCAAGTAATTGCCTCAGCAAAATTCAACCAAATTGAATTAATACGCATATACAATCTCCTACCAATCCCACACCCAATCCTCGCACATATCCCCAAAAACCAATCACCTCAAAACACCACCAACACCAGCCCACCCAAGCACAAACCCACTAAGCGCCTCACTCATAACACCACCACCAAACCAAACATCCCTCCAAGCACCCTTGCGCAAAATTCTCCTCGAACCAGCCTTCCCAGCAAGCTGCATCTTCACAGTCCGGCTCTTCTCATCCATCTCGACAACACCCTCGATCTCGCCAGCATTACTGCCCGGGAAGTAAGAGCCCGCGCCACCGCCGTTCGAGCGGTGGATTAGGACTAGGTGGAAGAGTCCTGAGACTAGGATTGTGCCGAGGAAGTAGAAGGCGAAGCCGTATGTTGATTGCAGGGCTAGAATTCCTGCTGAGAGGCCTAGGAGGAAGGAGGTTAGGCTATGAAGGGTTGAGAGGACCTATATTGGGAATGGTTAGTTTGTGGTTTGGTTTGAATGGTGGGAGGTTGTGGTTTCGTTTCAGTGCGGTTGGGGTATGTGGTGGCCGTCGGGATAGGGGTGGGATGAAGGAAAATACTTACGCGGTTGTTATGTTGGACTGATTCTGGTACGAGAGGATGGATTAGCAGGGAGAGTTCCTGCTTTGTTGGTGCCATTTTGGTTTGTGTCGTCTTTTGTTCCCTTTCGATGGGTGGAGGATATTCCGGGTTGAGAGGTCGAGCGGTGGCTCGGTGTTGTCGGAGGTAGTTATCAAGCCTCGAGGGCGTCGCGTATCGAACCTAATGGGAATTGCAGTGTGGGTTCTCTAGTATAGAGTGAGATGGAGGAGCTTGGGAAGATCGCGGCTGGACAGATGTCGGAGGTGGCAGCACGGGTTCTATGGGTGCACGGGCCACATGGAACTTCACCTGAGCATCACAGATCAAATCCACCTACACAGGTAGACAGGAAAACATATTATACAGGTTCACACGTAAATCCAATAATTCATGTCCTTATCTACTATTAACCCGAATGCAATGTTCAATAATTCCAGAGCCCATCTCATGAATCCGTTCACATGGCAGCGTTTGATACATTCCAGATCCCTCGATTATGCCGCAAATAAATGTAAGAATCACACAAGATTTTCGAGCTTGCCGTCGGTGCGGGCCTCCTTGACCTGCTCAAAGACCTGGCAGGGAATGTTAGTACGCCGATCAGTGTGGAGTCGAGTTCGGGGAGCTCACCTTGAGCATTTTGTTACGGGCACCAAGAGCGTTGACACCGCGGTCCTCCAAAGCTTTATCATCAAGCTCAACCAATTCCGTCCATTGCAAATCCTTCAGGTTGTCGGTGTACTTGTGGAGCCTGAGGGATCGCAGCCAGCTGGGAATATCCTTCAGAAGGGCAGGATCGGTGGGGTCTTCTGGGGGCTTGGAGCTGCCACGACGACCACGCGGAGAGCGGCCTCGGGCAACCTCCGAGTGATCCGACAGGTAGCCTTCACTACCCAGGCCGAACTGTCCAATATTAAGCGAGCCCATTCCATTGCCCATGAGAGGGTTGTTGGGATCATAAGCTGCCAGGAAGCCATTATTTTGTGGGGAGGTGAAGCCCATCGGGGTCAAACCACCACCTTGCATGGCAACGCCGGGGGATGTCGGGCGAGATCGTCCGCCTGCCATGGCAGCCTGTTGCTGAGCCTGCAAAGCTGCCAGCTGCTGAGCATTAAGGAGCTGACCGGCCACCAAATGTTGTCCACCAAGGCCTGGGCTAGCCAAGCCCTGGGAAAAGGTCGGATTGCCGTGGGAGTTCTTGCCCTGGCCATCGTTGGAGCGAGCACGGCGGTACTTGCGAGCATCGTCCAGAGCAATGCGGTTGTTCACCGTCGACAAAGCTGCCAGCTTCATTGCCGTGGCATTTGCAACCATGTCCGCATGCGTGTTGGGGTTTTGGTGCTGCTGCTGGCCGAAAGTAGCAGTCATCGGAGTGTTGGTCATTGATGCCCAGCTGTGGTTGCCAACGTTGTAGGGAGACAGAAGAGGTGGCTCGATGTCAGGAGCAGGGATATTAGCGGTTTGCGGAAGAGGCGAGCGCATGCCCGAGGGCTGGCTGAACTGGCCCATAGGCTGATGTCCGGAGGATGACTTCGGCCGGGCAATCGGGGGCTGGGTGTCTGAAAGACCACGCTGGGCCCACGGAGACGCCGGCGGTTGACCCAGATTGTCCGAGCTGTTGTCAGGCGCAGATATGGTAGGGGCGACAAATGAGGCACGGTCGAAGACGGCGCTGTTGCGGTTCGAGGGAGGCGCATTGCCCGTTTGCTGAGTGAACTCGGCCTTCTTCTTCGCAATGGCTGCGGCAGCATCTGGGAACATCGCATTGATGGTGGAAGAGTCGAGACCAGAGTTCCGCTTGGCGCCAGGGGATGGAGGGGGGCGTCCGAGAGAGTTACGGGAGGTATCCATATTAAGCTTCGACATAGCATCGCTCAAGCGGCTGGACATGGCATCTATGAGATAGGAGGTCAGTGAGAGCCACAAGAACGATGTGCAGATAGGATCATACCCTTTTCACCGAAGTTGGCGGGAGACAACAGGCCAGACATCGGGTGGCTCTGAGACATTTGCTGCAGGACTTGGATAAAGAAGCGGATCTGCACCTGAGTGGTCTGCTGCAGCAAAGCATAAAGAGCCGCAGTCCTCTCGGCCTCGCTCAGCACACGGAACCATTGTTCGATGGCACTCAGTTCATCCTTGAAATCCTGGTCAAGCGTAGCAGCCGCCATCTCCTCCAATGTAGTCTCATATTGATCAATGTCAGAGAGCCACTGCTGAGCCGCACGGTCCATCGCATCTTCAGACGTGTTCTGGCCCTGGGATTGTTGACTGAAGAAGACTTCCGATGATGGACGGATGCTTCGGGCGGACAACGGCGAAGGAAACCCGGACATGTCTGCCGACGCCCGCAGCTGGTGCGATCCGAGGTTTCGAGATGATGACGGAGGACGAAGGGTGGAATTCGAAGCGTCGGGGGTGCTATTGCGATTGCCGATGATATGACTGGCCATGGTTTGCAACGTGTTGCGAATAGTAAATACAGGGGAAATTACTGCAAAACACCTGCAGCGCCTGCTGAGTTTGCGTAACGAAAAGAATCAGAAATCCCCAAATCAGGACTTCTAGAGTATCAGGCTTGAAAAGACCCAAATCTCGACTTCGACAACGATCGGGCACAGACCAGTCCAGTGGGCTGCACCTCGAAAAGTGTGAAGAAAGTGAGAGAGAAATTAAGGCCTGAAACGAAAGAAAGAGACGTGAAGCAATAGTGTGTCAAACACAGCAAGCCACAGTCCCGAAAGGAAAGGAAAGAAAAAAAAAGGGTGGAGAGGAGAGGAGGAGAAGAAGAGAGGAAGTGAACTTTGGTGCAGAGGCTTTTCTGTTTCAGGCCGCGATCACGGGTTCCGACCTCAACATTCTTCGACGCGAGCTCTGCGATTTGCGCTTTTCTACTTTCTGCGCTATTTCATCTAATTTAGTCTATTCTTCTCTAGATATCTAGGGCCTGGTGGAGATGTTACTATGAATATCTGCCAAGACCAGGCCTGAAACGTCGCAGTGCGCTCTATACTGGCTTGATATCCACGTTGATCCCACGCAGCTGTCTAGTCTGACATTATCCCTTACAGGGTGCTCAGACAATTTTTGGCCATGGCTGATAATTATTACCCAGACATGAGCTCTCCCCAGAAAGAGGACTCGGAATATCCGGACATCGATGAAACTGTCCAATATCCATGGCAGCATGGCCAACCTATTGATGATGGAAATGCTCTTTCCTCGGTGCTTGATCCTCGTCTTTTCGGAAATCAGACACAGCCTCCACAGCCTCTAGAAAGCATCAATCAACCCCCAGCAGAAGCTGAAGATGAGATAGAAGAAGAGTTCTCCTCGGGCGAGTACAATCAGCAATATCCCCCTGTACCATATGTCCCAGGACAACTTGATGAGGCTGGATCAGACAACGACTTCGTCATATCTGGCGAAGAAGAAACCGACAGGTATGTTGATCAAAGATCCCTATCTGGGTGAAGCTAAGACTATTATAGCGGCGATGATGACGACGAAGCAGCAGAAGCTGATGACGATGATGAGTCTGTTGCCAGGAGACGCCGACGCCGAGGAGGTGGGCGCTTTTCCGGGAGATACGGTGCTCGCGGTGGAAAGGGCATCAAGAGAGGACCGCGTAAACCGATCGAACCCGGTCCAGAGTTCAAACACTTCCATTCAGAGGCCACATCTGCCTTCATTGATGGCAACTACGATTATGCCATTGAACAGGTTATGCAAGCCATCCAAGCTAACCCTGAGATGTTTGCTGCGCATTCCCTGCTCTCTGAAATCTTCCTTGCACAAGGAGAAAACGACAAAGCTTTGGCGGCTCTTTTCAACGGAGCTCATACCAGGCCGAAGGACCCCGGCGTTTGGGTCAAAGTTGCTAAGCTCATCTTAGACCGTGTCGGAGATAATCGAAAATCCGCTTTGAATGATGTGATTTACTGTTACAGTCGCATCCTTGAAGTCAGCCCTGAGAACTACAACATTCGGTTCCAAAGAGCAGCGATCTATCGTGAGTTAGGTCACAACGGCCGAGCTGCAGCAGAGTATGAAAGGTTACTGAAGGAACGACCACATAGCGTCAAGGCCCTCCGCCATCTTGCAGAGACATACATTGACTCAGATGAGATCCAGAAAGCAGTGGACCATTACGCAGATAGCATTGACCACTTCTTGACTCTTGATCCTGAAGAGTGCGATTTCTCCTGGTCCGATGTTAACATTTATGTTGAGCTTTTTGGCTACCTTGACCAGCCTGCGGAAGGACTGAGCTCCTTGAAAATGCTCGCTCGGTGGCTCCTAGGACGAGTTGATGATACTATATGGGAAGATTATGACGACGATGACCGCGAATGGGACGCCGACGATTCACCTCGACGCATCAAAACAGACGGTTACGTACCTGGACAATGGCCCCGAGAATGTTATGGACTCGGTCTTCCCCTGGAGCTTCGAGTCAAATTGGGTGTCTTCCGCCTAAAGATGGGTGACAAGAACCAGGCTGAAGCATTAGTAAGTTTGATTGTATACAGATAGTGGAGGATCAAAGCGCTGACCAACGGAATTAGCATCATTTCGAATGGCTCAACCCGGAAGACGATTCCGAAGGGGCTCGGATCTTTGACTATGGTGATCTTTTTAGGGAAGCGGCGGATGCACTGAAAAAGGCTGGTCTGCTAGAAGAAGCCTTGCGGTACTATACCCCCATTCAACAGACTGCAGACCATGCAGACATCAGCTTTTTCATGGCCATGGGCGAATGTTGTTTGCAACTTGGCAAAGTGGAAGATGCCGAAAGCTGCTACCTCCTTGTCGCCGAGCACGATCCGAAGCACATGGAGTCGCGAGTCGCTTTGGCGAAGCTATACGAGAGCCTGGAAATGAGCGAGCAAGCCTTGAAATACGTCAATGAGGCGGTCTTGATCGGCAGACAGGAGAACAGATCCAAGCGGAAAAGGAAGGATACCAGGCTTGAACAGCTTGCCATCGAATTCAAGCTGGCTGAAACAGCAGCCCTCCGGCCACTTGCACCCAAACCAACGGCCAAACCAACGGTGCCACTTATGAACGCTACCCCCTCGGCCCAAGGCAGAAGAGGTGAAGGTACTCGAACCGACGATATCCAGTTCCTGTACGAGAAGATGCTAGATTTGCAGCCTCACGTCAAAGAGGGTGCATCGGACGCCATTGAGGATTGGCTTGATATTGCTGATGCTCTGTTGCGAGACTTCCGCTCCAACAGGGCTTTCTATCCAGAGATCCGCAGCATCGCTTTTATGGGATATTCTCGTCCACAGCAGCGTAAGGGCGCTAAGTCTAAAGACCGGACATGGATGGATGAGATGCACGAAATGGCAGGTCGTCTCCATGAGAGTCTGGGTAAGTCAGCCAAGCCAATTTGGAGAGAGCAGGCTAATAGGCTTTCTAGGCGAGGGGACACATGAACCCCTCCAGGGTGCGATCCCAACCGACTATCACGGAATACCATTTGATGAATGGCTCGATATCTTCCTTCAGTACGCTCTGCTCACGGCAGAACAGGGCGAGCCAGAGGAGTCTTATGAGGCGCTTGATTCAGCAGCACTTGCAAGCATCTGGTTGCACTCCAAGCCCAAATCTCGACTAATCCATGTGTGCTGGTTCAGTGAGTCTGTTCGCCTTCTAACACGTGATTCTCAACTTACGTCTTTATAGCTTGTGCACTTCGCGTGGGAGATGAAGATACGCTAGCGAATGAAGCACGCTGGTTCATCAAGGAATACCAGTTCGTTACTGACACTTATCGCCTTTTCTCCATGCTGAGCCACCTGTCTGGCGACCCTCACCGATCTCTTTTCCATTCCTCGCCAAACATGAAGTTCATGCTTCGCCAAATCAAAGCGATGGACTTTACTCTGCCTAGTGATATCCCCAGACCTACCCGACAGTCCATCTGGAAAGAGCGCGCCACTCTATCTACGCGCGACGAAGCTGGTGACCCAATTCCTGCTATGGATCTAGACATCGCCCTTCTAGTACTCTATGGCCACATTCTGTACTCCGGAAACAGCTTCTACCCAGCGTTGAACTATTTCTTCCGAGCATATGCACTCGACGACCAAAACCCGGCTGTCCTCTTATCCATCGGCCTCTCTTTCATCCACCACTCCCTCAAACGACAAGCCGAAAACCGGCACTACCTCATCATGCAAGGGCTATCTTTCATGCACGAATACCGTCGTGTCCGGGAGAAGCCCGGTAGTCTCTTGGCAGAAAAGCAAGAGATGGAATTTAATTTCGCTCGCGTATGGCACTCTCTCGGTCTAGCCCATCTGGCAGTCGAGGGATACAACAAAGTGCTGAAATTGGGCGAGCAGATCCAACAAGAGGCCCAGGGTAACCTGGCAGAGAATGCCTCAGACAATAGCGGCGACGTAGTCATGGGCGATACCGATCAACATGAGACTTTACTCGCGAACCCGCCTTTCGTTGAAGACTTCACACGCGAGGCTGCCTACGCGCTGCAGTGCATCCATGTCCTCAGTGGCGATGCAAAGACAGGAAGGGCTGTCACTGAACAGTGGCTTGTTATCTGATTCATCTTCCAAAAGTGGTTATTTTGCGATCTTGCAAGGGGCCAATTTCCTCCAATTGCCTAGGTAGTCTGTACGATGTATGATATTGCTTGAACCTCAAACGAAAATGAGCTCCATAAACATTCAAGAAAGCTAGAAGTGCGTTGTAGTATAGTTGATGCCATCATTGACAGGGTATGTGTGGGGCCGAGGCCGAGTGCGGAAATCGGGGATGGCAACTCGGGGAATGACCGATCAGCTCGGGCTTTTTCTCGCGGAACATTACGGGCTTATATGCGTCTGATCTGCAGCTCTAATTGATTCGGAGGGTTTCTTGCTTCTCTTATCTTGCACCTTGTTCCCCTCCAAGTCTCTCAGTTTCCCCCATGTCTGTCTAAACCCTAGCAATTGAGAGGGCGACAGAGCAGACGACAAGAAAACCTTGGAATATTCCGCAGGTCAATGACTGTTACAAACAGCCACAGAGTGGAAAATCAATCCGACTCTCAACTTAAAGCTTCTGCAGAACCAACCAACGGGAATAGTCCGATCACCTCGGCACATTCTAATGGACCTACGCCGCAGTCGCATGAACAAGATGAAAAGAACCACGAATACAATGTCCAAAATGCAGAGGAAACGACGACAAAACGCCAGTATTGGACTGGTTTTGTGGATATAATATTCTGGACACCGCCGCGATGTCGATGGGATGCGGAGAATCCGTGCAAGTTCGGCTTGCCTTTAAATATCCTCTTCGCATTCTCCGGGACTTTCACAGTATGGAAAGCGCGAAAATAAAAGATCCAGATCTTCAATACTAATCTATATACTCTAGGTCGCGAATCTGTATTATTCGCACCCTATTCTTGATGTGCTTGCCCAATTCTTTGGCGTCACCTATGAGCGAGTCTCATTGATTCCGACCTGCAGTCAGGCTGGGTACGCAACAGGTTTAATCCTACTATGCCCTTTAGGAGACTTGGTTAGAAGAAGGCATTTCGTCTTATTGTTGACGTTTATCACCGCGGCCTTGTGGATTGGAGTTTGTATCACGAAATCATTCGAGATATTTCTTGTTCTGAGCTATTTAAGCTCTGTGACTACTGTGACTCCAGTAAGTGGAAATTTCGGATATATTTTCGACCTCAGAACTGACTTCGTATAGCAAATCATGCTTCCCCTCGTTGGTGATCTCGTACCTCCAGCTCGCCGCGCAACAGCCCTATCTATCGTTTCTTCCGGGCTCGTCCTAGGACTTCTCTTCGCCCGCCTTCTCTCAGGCATAGTAGCAGAATACTCCTACTGGCGAAACATCTATTGGCTATCACTAGCCCTCCAATTCCTCATCTTCGCCCTACTCTGGATGTTCATGCCAGACTACCCAAGCACCAACACCAACATCTCCTACTTCAAAATCCTATATTCGATCATCGGCTATTACTGGACATCTCCAGTACTAGTACAAGCAACACTAATGGGATTCTTTCTCTCCGCCACATTCACCAGTTTCTGGACAACCCTCACCTTCCTCCTATCAGGAGATCCATACAACTATGCAACCTTGACGATAGGACTGTTCTCCCTAGCAGGGTTGACACCAATGTTCCTGGGTCCGTTCTACTCACGCTATATGATCGACAAATTTGTGCCGCAGCTATCCATTCTCGTCAGTTTGAGCATACTCATCATTGGTGTTAGCGTTGGTACGTATACGGGAACCTATAGTGTCGCCGGTCCGATTATCCAAGCTGCACTGCAGGACTTTGGTCTGCAGATGACGCAGGTGGCTAATCGTACAGCTATCTATAGCGTTGCGCCCAAGGCTCGCAACAGGATCAATACTGGCTATATGATAGGTGTATTTTGTGGTCAGTTGATGGGTACTTCCGTTGGGAATCGCATCTATAGTGAGGGGGTTGGATTCTGACTGGAAGTGTCAGTTTGGCATTTATTGGGGCAGCTCTGTTTATTTGTCTTCTTCGTGGGCCGGCTGAGAAAAAATGGATTGGGTGGCATGGCGGTATTCGGATCCGGCGAGCGGAGTAGCGCCTGGGATTTTGATATTTCTATTTGGTTTTCTTGAAGACGGCCATTCTCAATACGTTATAGATTAGATTATACATAGGATCTAAAAGAATACGAAGTTATCGCATATTCTAATGATTTGTTTTCCACTCTTTTCATTCCTGTCGAACAAACTATGCTTGTCTCTATATATGAACGCCATTTTAGACGGCAAGCTTGTACAGAAGATCCGCAGAAGCCAATTAGGAGTCTGGGCCTGCACTTCAAGGTCGTGAAGGCACGTCCACAGAGCTTGCTGTAGGCTTTTGATTGTCTCAAGGGTATACGCCAAGCTTCCGTTCGCTTCACCACTAGCGTTTTCTCTTCGGGGCTCATGAATTTTATGAATTTTATGAATTTCTTCTGCTTTCTAGATTCCAGAAGAGACTTGAGGAGTCCACTGTCCGAGGACATAGCATGGATCAAAGGGAATCGTCAAGTTCCTCGCAGAATCCTTTAGTCTCAAAGTACTATTTTCGGATTAGTTAGGGCTTGACCTTCTATAAAATTTCTTACCGCTATACCTCAGTTGCATTCAAATTTTGATAATCGTCTCTGATTTGGAAGTAACGTCCCATAAGTGCGACAAACTCGCTCAGGTCAAGCGTGCTGTAATTTCGTCAACAACGTCTCAAATAAGCCTCTGAGCTCCGGAAGTCTAACCTGTTTTCAGTATTGTGGAGCTTCATAATTCTAGTGGCGATTCTGAAGAGGCCTCCAGTTTCTGTTCCAGGTAATCAATAAGCCTGGAATTGCATTATCAAGGACAAGAAACTTACTCCGATCAATCACTTGTAAATATTCTTCTTCGGGCGGGACTGTGCCATGTTAAGTCCAAAGAAGATCGTATCCTTGTCCAATAAGAAGGTGATGGAGCTCATCTGTTGTATATTTAGAACAGATTATATTAATAAATGCTGGATCACTCACCAATTAAAGCGTCAACTGTTGCCGGGAGATAGCATGCGCCTGAGAAAGAGCCTTCCCAAAGAATAAATTTGCAGAGTTGATAGTCTGGGCCACTCCAAAACTGCAGTGGGCTGGCTATTAAGTGCATATAGGACTGTCGACTAAATTATCAACCTTTTCATTTGTGGTTAGTGTGCTCGTATTTGACTTTTGCTAAGTGGAGTGCCAAGTTGTTAGAGCGTAAAGAAACGTGTTTTGTTGACTCACTCTGTTGAGCCTCATATTCGACCTTATCATCGTTTTTGATCATATACACAAACAGAATGATTAATGAAATGCCAATGATATTGACTCTTCCATATGAGCTTCTGGTCTCTCTAGTAGAGTACCTGGATGGCCCAAGCCGTGCAGCACTAGCACGAACATGCCATGCTCTTAACTTCTCGATGACACCGCATCTTTACGAATCTGCCAACATCCAACTCGGCAAAAGCAACGAGTTCGTACGGACAGTCGAGACAAAATATGCCGATTTGGTCCGCCATGTCACAGTCGCGATCCAAGATTGGGGTGTCGATATCTCTCCTTGTCGTGTTGTGCCATGTCTCGAGAAGCTAGAGAACATGCAAAGCCTCACGCTAGTCGGTGGCTACTGGATGTGGGACACTGAAGACGAAAATTGGGATACCCTTGAAGGCTATCTCTGGGACTACCTTGAAAAAGCGAGCTTGAAGCAACCTTTAGAATCGCGAGTTTCTACGAATCTTCGATCCCGTAAGTCACTGGCATCCATAGAGAGAAGATGAAAGACCAGAGCTAACATCTATATATCAGTGACTCTCGACCGTTCTGAACGCAATGGCCAAGCAGCATTCATTCACTACTCGCACGTCTTCATCATCCCGCAACTCCATAATCTCACGTTGCGTGGTTTTATGCTTGAGGAAGAAGATGGCGAGATCGATCTTCGGTATGAACGCCAGACCGAACTTCAATCATTACGCATCGAGAACAGCTTTGTGAACTTTCCGGCTTTAAAAAAGGTCTTGCGTGCTCCAAGGGCATTGAGATGCCTTAGTATCAGCCATGCAGAGTGCTTCTGGCACCATGAGCTGAAGAACGCGGAATACAACCACGCAACGGTGGCTGAGTTTGTAGAGGCTTTGTTCCTACATCGTGATACGCTCGAGGAGATTCAAGTGAAGGTTAATCACATTTACGACAATCATGACAATTACGATATGGAGTGCGATTCAACAATCAATGCTCCGAGCTTTCATAAACACGCAGCACAATTTCCGGTACTAAAGCGCTGGATCGGCTGTGATAGAACCACGTTGGCGGAGTATCTTGGGTCAGGCGAATTTAGTTCATCTGACGAAGATGGTGAATGACCAGACTGAGAACTCTTTGCCTGTATACAGAGATCACATTGAAGGAGTAAACAATACGATCAATCATTCATATAGCTGAACGGACTTTCCAAGATCTTACTGGCTTTTACTGGAGCGCTGATTCCTGAGAGTATACAAGAAGGCCATACGGTGCTAAATAGACATTATATCCTTCTGCGCATAAATATCTTCGTTTAGCCCTGAAGCACATAGTGAAGGACTTGTCAACTTTGAGCAACGTCTATACCGGTATAACATATCATCTATTCTGCTTTTCATTCTTTTGCTCATAATTACCTATCAACGTCCTATAAGGCATACAATCCCAATACCAAGCTTTGTCCTTCCATACAACAGAGAAATAACCAGCCATCTCATGTACAATGACGTGACCCAGTCGAGTTCCCAATCTATGGCGTACAGATTAATCCAACGACAGCGTTTTGATTCATACTGAAATCACAGCTCAATCTAAAATCAAATATTCATAGCATCGATTATATTGATATGACATGGATTTTGGATTTGATATTCGTCCATAACTTAGGTAACTGCAATATCAACCCTTATAATATGATATCAATATTTCCCCGGCTTCATTTATACTTACTTTAAACAACTATAGCCTTGCATAGGGTACTATATACTTTATGTAATTGTGCAGAAGCATTCATTACGCTGTTCTCCTGCAGTTGTAAGAAGTCGGTTGAATATATAATGTTATTTGACCTACAACATGACATATCCATGACAAGTAGGCCTAACGCACTGTGATATTAATTTTGATTGTTATTTGATCTGCAATAATAACAAAGTATAACACATTTATGTCCGTACTAGCATAATTTGCAAAAGCTAAGTTTGTCACGAGTGTAGAGACTGATGTCACTTACCATGCACCCCCGCTTCGCCAAGGTGATATCGAGCAGATGATATCTCTTAGTATTTACCAGAGAGACTACGTTCACGCCACTTCATTCAAACAAATACCGAGAACATAATATTCGTACACTAGGAGCGTTTATGTACATTACAAAGCCTTCCATCTCTGTCTCCGAAGGTAAATACCTTCCTGTGACACGAGTAAGCAGCAAATGCAAAGATAGCCGAAGCCAAAAATGACCAAATGCATAACCAATAAGAAATAAGACACCTTGCTATGCTGATGAAAGGAAGTAAGACGAGAACAAAAAAGGAAAGACGCTAGACAAGGACAGTAGGGCGTACAGTCTAAGAGTGCCCGCAGATACCGGCAAGAGCCGCCTGTCATAATGAATCTCACAGAGAGCTGGAAGTATAATGACGGAAGGCCAAGCTGCAGGTGCCCTGAAGCAGAAAGACTCTCCGCTCGAAGTGAACTCTGGGAGCGCTCAAGCCGCTTGTATTTTATTTTTCAGATGACCGCTGAATCTTCGTCACCGTAGGAATCCGCATCATCAAAGAAAACAGCAGACTGGCGTCGCATTTCCTCCATGATGCTCCCCCGCCGGGAATTCGGGGTCTGAGGGCGTGGTGAGGCGGTTGATTGGGACATGCTATCTGATAGGTCGACGAACCGCGACTGGTCTTTGTAGCTGGAGCCTTCGCGCTCTGAAAGGTTCTCATCTACATGTTCCTCCACGGGACCTGAATGTTCACTTTCTGTATTGTGGAGTCGACGAGAGAGCGCTGGGGAGAGGCTGCGTCCACCTGTTTTGGATTCTTGGAGTCCTTTCATGATTTCATTTTCGACTTTAAGTCGGTTTTGAATGAATTGAATTTTGGGGAATGCGCTTTGCTGACCGACATGGATCATGCGAGCGAGACGTTCAGGGCTTGGGTCGGAGAGAATGTGGATGAAATCGGAGGGAATGCTCTTAGGCCAGATAGTCACAGTGCCACTGAACTTCTGCAACCAAATCTCACTCCAGTCTTGCCCCATTGGTCGTGGGAGAAGCTCCAAATGCCGAAGGACTCGAAGCCATTTGTTAAGGTCTAACTTGATGTATTGTTCGATCGCAGTGCCGAGGAAGCCGCCACGCCACCCACGGCCCTTGCGGTGTGTGACTGGTCGCCCTACCGTTCCCCGAGAGCTGAAGAAGAAAAGGTTGATGTGGGGGTTCACCTGATGCAGTGTCAGTGGCAAAAGAGCACAAAGAAGCGAGGGTAATCTTACCTGGGACACTATCGTAAAATTGACGTTGAAATGTAGGTTCAGCGCTTTGATTGGTATATCAGTCCGCAGGCTACCATCCTTCCATTTATGCCCAAACGAGTAAGGCTTGAGAGTGCCATCACGCTTTTTGGTCATCAAAACTACTGGATTCAGAATGCCTGGAACGGCCGCAGAAGCAAGCACCGCACTCCATATGACGCAATCGGGGGATGTCAGATAATTGGCCAGGATGGTCGGCGAGTGAGGATCTGAGGGCACACAGCTGACATTCAAGATGCGCCCGGTCCGCTCGTAAGCTTCCCGAAACGTAGTTGAGCCCCTGCAGAACCAACCGCACTGTCGGGCCCAGTCGACAGTATCAAACCTAGCACCTGTTCGCCACCAGCGACTGACCCAGGTCGGAAACCCTTCGTGGCATGCGCGAATCCGATGTGCTAAGGCGGGAACGAGCAGCTGTTTCAGTTCCTCATCGGTCCTGGTCGCAACCAGGCCCGCCACTAGCGCTCCACCTGATGTCCCGGTAATGATCTCCGGGAGGACATTATTATCCAGCAGGGCCTTGACTACACCAAAGTGATAATAAGCGAATGTAGCTCCACCTGACAGACAAAGAGCGGTGCGACCGAAGTTCGTATCAAGGTGCTTGAAGAGCTGATACTTGGCGTCCTTATCAATCTGCTTGCTGTTTTGGACGAGTTCAATACACGCGTGTACCTCGTCGATGTACTCTTGGACCAAGTCTTTGGTCCCAGAGTACGTCTCGCTGTATATTCGAGGGTTCTCCACACCGGCGAAATTGTTCTTGACGCAAGCTTCCAATAGCGTACGGAGCTCTTCAATAGCCGACGCTTCGCTCGAGTCACTCCGCCCATTGTCTATCTCCCGTTCTGCATCCGCTCTGGCTTTCTTCAGCTGTCCCACCACTTTGTTGATTGTAAGATGATCGTAGTAAGCGTATTCATCGGTCTGTTTCCACTTCTCGGTCCCGAGGTGGACGTCCAGCGCCTGGGCCGCTTTCAACCAATCTGGATAGTTCTTCTGCGCAGACAACTCCCGGCGCAGCCTTTCCCTTTTGCCCCGCCACGTCACCCATTGCTCATAGAGGAAAATGTAGACTCGGATAAGCACATATCCAAAGCTCAACACAGTAATCCACGTGAAAACAGTGAACAGGAATGGCCATTTCAACACTGTATATAGCACCCCCTCTCTCGTTTCATCCTTGCTTCGTTTGGGTTGTTTGCGACGGCCACGGGTCTTGCGGACTCTTTGATTGATTGGGCGCCAGTCATTGATAGCCACCAATGGGGAGGCTTCTGGGGCATTCAGCGCCCTCTCGAATCGGTCGAGTTCATCGGGTTCAATAAAGTCGCGGTCAAAATCGGGTAGACAGGCCGGATCGTAGGGGTCATACACTGCAGGTTGCTTCTCAGTGGCCATGTTCAATGCATGCTGGAGTGACGAGAACAATGTTGAGACATCGAAGGTACCTGGAATCCGGTTGGGGAAGCTATGACGCTGATATCACGTGTCTGTCCATCTCCACGCACGTTGCGCTAGTACCGGATCTGGCTAGCCCCATTTATCTGCTGAGTCATTCATATCTTGCCCCGCCAGATAAGAAATCGTCAACCATGGATGCCGAGGTAGCTAAACAGTGGAAGTACCAAGAATTGAGAACTCAAGGTTTCATCGCGTCTGGGAGATAGATAGTGATGAACTATCGCCAAGTTCATGGCAAACACTCTCAAACTCAGCATTTCTTTGTGAGTGATGTGTATCTTGAGAACCGCAAGGCTTATGCAAGCATTATCCTACCAAGCTATGCTACGACACTTGAGTACAACAATGTCACTGTGCGACAGTCTTGGGAGTGTTTGGAATGTGCCCCTCCTCCGCGCACGCCCCGCGAGGAATTGACATTCCTCAATCTAAATCCCTCTCTTGTTACAATGAGCGGGGCAGCTCATACCGAAGGCAAATCCGAGGTTTCTTTCGTTTTCGTCTCAAAGAAGTATACTCGATCTCACCGCTAGATGAGGTGGCATGAATCTCAAGGAAGATACCGGTGTCCTTCCCTGATTGGTAGGCATGACGGCAGAGTTTGTTTGTCGCAGCCGAATTGGAGGCCCAGGAAAGCATCCCATGGGTTGGCGGGGTCAATATCCCTCTAGCTGCATGCAAGCAGGACCGGGAAATGTTTTGTGTGCGCGGTATCGGACATAAAAAGTAGATCAGATATCAGCCACTATCTTCTGTTATAGGTCGGGTAAGAAGTCTGCTTGGTCACCTGATCTAGGTGTTCGGAAACGCCTCTATTCACATATCAGGATGATTGGCAGCGAACTAAGAATTAGCGTCGTGTACGAGGATGCAGGATGAGTCCCTAATTAGGCTCTTTTCGGCGAAGATAATCCGGACATGTTTTGCCATTCGGTCATGTTCGTCCTTGACGCTGATCATGCTGATCATTCTGCTAAATTCCTAAATACAGTGCCAAAAAAAGTAAACATCGCGCAAGCCATCGCTTCTTGTTGCCACTTGCGATCCAACAATCGGCTCTGTATACCATCGACACCTAAATATTCGAATTTCGCAGTCCCCTGTCTCGTGGCGGCACAAGGAATATATTAAATGAGCAGTTTGCGCCGTAGCCGCACGATTTATTAAGTTGAGTTAGCCTCTTCAATATCCCTGAACGTGCCGGCGGCGCCGAACTTAAGTGCGAATTCTATGTCAAGGAACCCTGTCCTCCAATGCCCCGCCCTCAGGGCTCTTGGCATTTTCTATCTCTGTAATCCCGAGCCCGGATTCCCCATTTAGCCCTATGCAGATTGCTCATGGA